TAGCTTCAACCCATCAACTCTTCATAATTCCAACCCACTAACTCTCCATAGCTCCAACTCACCACACTAATGACTTATAAATACGATGTGATAATCACAACACGAATCACCACACGAATCACATCACACTAATGACTTATAAATACGATGTGATAATCACAACACGAATCACCACACGAATCACATCACACTAATGACTTGTGAATACGACGTGATAATCACAACACGAATCACATCAGATCAGATCACATAACCAAATCACAGTCATAAACCAACCAAACCAAACCAACCAAACCAGATCAAATCTACCAAACCAGATCAAATCTACCAGACCAAACCAGACCAAAATCACAAACTAAGTAAACCAAACCAAATCACATACCCAAACCAACCCAAAATCATAATCACAAACCAAACCATAAATCAAACCATAAACATAAACATACCCAAACCAACCCAAAATCATAAACATAAACATACCCAAACCATAAACATAAACATACCCAACCCAAAATCACAGTCCCAACCCAAAACCAAAGCAAAAAAACCCATAAAAATTCCCATTATTCCCGAAGCGCGCGAAGCATATCAAAAGAAAAAAATTCAAAAAAAGATCAAAAAAAAAGATCCCCTCAAAAAATCAAAGAAAAAAATTCAAAAAAAAAAAGATCAAAGAAAGTACTAACTAACCATCCATCACCTAACCATCCATCAATCACCTAACACCTAATACTAATCACTAATCACTCAAAATATTAATCACCTAATACTCAAAATATTAATACTCAAAATATTAATCAAAATATCAATCAAAATATCAATCAATCAAGTAAAGAAAGAAAGGAAAAAGTAGTCAAGTTATTATAAGTTAGTCTGGAAGAAATAAAGTACTGGTGGGTAGGTAGATAGGTAGATAGGTAGTGAATATTCAATAAATGATCTTCCAATAAGCAGTGTAACGTAGTATGTATGTATATATGTATATAATGGAATGGAATGGAAAGGTATGTATGTATGTAATGAAAAGATATATATGTAATGAAAAGATATATATGTAATGAAAAGATATATATGCATAGATATGTATGTAATGTAATAAAAATGTAGGTATGTAATAGAAATGTATACGAGCGAGCAACACTTCCTCTTCCCATCTACGGAGCTTTCCATAGTTTTTCATCTCTCTCATCTCTTTCTCTCTCTCTCATCTCTCTTTTTCCTTTTCTTCTTCTCTCTCTAAATCTGAATCTGAATCCCAATCTGAATCTGAATCTCCGCACCTACCTCTTCATTTACATCCCTCCCGCTCCCGCTTCCTCTCCATCATTATCATCATCACCCAGATCCACATCCAGATCCACATCCCCATCCACATGCAAATTGCCATCTCAATCCCCATCCCGATCCCCCAACCCGCTCAGACCCCCCCAACCTACCCATACCCATTCCACCATACCCATTCCACCAACCCCAAACCAGCAACTCCAACCTCCCACCTCCAACCTCCAACCTCCAAACCAAACCAACCCCCAACATCACATCTTCCGCGCCACCACCACCACCACCACCACCTCAAAAAAACACCCGCACATCCGTACATCCCCTCATCCGTGCATCCCCGGAAGCTTACACCCTCCATCCATCCACAGTCCATCGTCCACAGTCCCTGCGCCATCTAGACTTTCCTCCGCCGACGATACTAAGAAACCCCTCCTGCAAGCCCGACTTTTCTTAGCCTCCGACTCCAACTCCAACTTCGACGCCGACTCCGACTCCGACTCGAGACTATTGGTTTGGCGACATGCATGCAATACCATGCATATCGCACGCACCATCAATGGGTCAGAGAGAGTGATGCGCCGATATAACTTAAAAATCTTTTAGCTTCACAAACGTATTGTACCGGTCGGATGGACCGTGAGATCGGACTTTACGTTACGATGTGTACCGACATCAAGTCGATAATAGATAAAGTGAAGATGAATAAGAATAAGAAGTCGATAGAGGAGCAACAAAGTCTAAATTGAAGTTTGATTGTGTGGATCGTGGGTTGACGAATGGTGATTGGTGATTGGAGGCTGGGAAGTGGACAAAATAGAGTTTAAGCCAAGAGTTGGAGATCGAATTACTGTGGGGGAGACCACTGATCACAAATTGGTCCAGAACTCCAAATTAATTAACCCATTTGACTTTAATCTGTAACTTTACTTGATGTACCTTTGTAACATTGATGAATTTGTGAATGGGCCTTGACAGTCACATCAAAGCTTTGAACATAGTCGGGAGTATCGAAGCAAGCTCGACGGTAAATATGGGTGTACTGACGAGTGCTTGATACACATTATTGAAACGAACACTGGGCAAAGATGCCTCCAAACTTTCAAAAGTGGAATTTCTGCCTTGGCTATCATCTATTCGCACGGCGCAATATGACGTGATGCCACAAGCAACCAAGTAAACAAAAGTCAAGCTCGGTGGTTGAAACCTGCAATTGACATGCATTCGCACTTGTTATTAGCTATTCTGAAATGGCAATAATGAATTGATTATTCGCCTCCTGCAAATAGGAAAGATACATCCATTCATACCTCGAGACAAGAGAAACGAACATGGATGATTCTTAAAGTTTCTTCCGAATCCGAAGTTCAACTTACATACCAATGCAAGCCAAGAACGCTTGAAGAAAGTACAACTTTGGTACAATTTTTCGGCATACCTCTGAATGGTCCCTCTTACCGATATTGGAAAGCCACAGAGATATTCATAGTCAAATATATCATGCAGTAAGTATGATGTTGAAGATGAAAGCAACTAGCACAATACTAACTGTACACCTAACAAGGACAACAGGATCAATGGAACTACCTTAAACCCGGGTCGGGCCACCAGTTCAAACTATCGAAAGGGACCTCGAGCTTAGTTAGTCGCTTGGAAATCGGAGTTGACCGGTGAAATATATGGTGATAAATTAGTTTATACACAGCGTCAAAATAATTGCGCCGGGTTGTTTACGCGTACATATCAAGCGTTACAATGAGAAAAGAATGATTGGATATTCAACATCTGAATTCATGTACATCATGAAGTACGCCACCGTTCTAACACTTAACGGCTCACGCCGTTGATTGATTTCATGAAAATTTAGTCAAAAAATTGTTCCAACTACATAAACTCTGTTCATGTTGTAACCCGAAAAGTATATTTTCCAAGAACTTTGACATACAACCTATTATCGACGCGCATAAATTCTAACTTTCAATGTCAATTCTTGACGGAAGCCATTCTCCATTCCGCTTGTTGCAACGTTGCAACACAACTTCTTGACATCACGTTCGTAAATTCATGTTGAACGGCATCACCCTAATACTCTACCACAATCCCTGGTATTCGGTACCGATTTGGATCGGAAAGGAACTTTAGTCAAGTCACTCTAAAAGACCCTTCAGATTGGCGGGAGATGGTAGCTTCGTAATAAAATTGTAGTCTTGTGTGATGTAACGAATTGTCTGGAGGATGTTGTAATAGGATAAATGAGGGGTAATTATGTTGGATTGAGTAGTATTATTTGTACAACACTAGTTGGTATTCTCATTGATAATTACATGTTTCTTTTTAATTCTATTGACAGAAGGGGAGAGGAATAGCTGTTGGGAAATTGCGAAAGAAACTTTTCTTTTCCGAGACATTGAACCATTGAATGATAGAGGCTCGAGAGAGTTTAGATTTCATGATACTTTTGCGATGTGATATCGATAAGAAAGACATTACAAGCTTGACTGGTGATGGATCTGCAAACCTAGATATCTCTTCATACTTATGAACGAGCGACCTATTGATAAAATTAAAGCACCCGCTCATATCATCCCGTCCATTTAAACTCCAAGGGTCCAATATACATAAAGGGTCTGTTCACCTAGCACTCACGTACAACATCCGTAAAGTTTCTCGCGACTCCAAATTTCACATCCATACATTGATCACATCTCCTCCGAGATACTTCCGCAGAGTAGTGTCACACATGGGAAACGTTGGAAGAATTGATGGAAATGTGACAGAAATGCATGTGGTAGATGTTGTGTACGTAGTGTTGTGTAAGTAGATGTTGTATACTTATCAATCTGTTTGAAATAGGCACTGGTGACTGGCGATCTTGCGGGATACACACGCGAAGCATTCCCAGCCGCTAGAGGTTGTGCCACTCGGCTTGGTATGCGATGGTTGACGGCTGAGTTTGAGAAGCGTTTGTAGATTGGTTGGAAAGGATAAGGTGTGAGGATGAGATTTAGATGTTGTATGAAATGCTTGAGAGCAATGACTTGAATTGAATGGAATGGAATGCACGTTTTGCGTAAAACATACCTTGTTCTTAATAGCAAGTATGGATACATACGCTTGATTGACAAGTAAGATCACTTTAACCTTGGATATCGATCGTATCTGTGTGATATCTACTGAGTCTACCAGGTAGACTCTACCTAGGCAGCAGTGTTGTACTCGGTTCAACTGGGCCACGGATACTATCCAACTGATTGAGGTTAATGAATGTTGAGACTTCGTATCAGTTAAATCCATTAATTCAACCGTGGAAGTATGGGATCAGTCAGACTCGTCAGACTCATCATACGATATCTGAGGTGGTTTCTATCCGCCATGCTATCCTATCCGGTATTAGTCATATATTATTCAGCACGCATGTGACCCCATCTCATCGACGCATCGACACATCGGCGCATCGACGGCATGAAGGAGAGCTTCTGACCCTTATCGTCGATGATTGCAAAAAACATATGAAACATCCGTTCCGCCCAGTACATCATTTTAACATTTTTTTTTCTCGAGCGGGTCCGCCTCTCCCATCGGATTTGACTCAGATCATCGTCATAGGGGATCTCGATTTCTCCAAACAAGCTTCTAGAAAAATCTTTGCACGATATAAAATAAATGTTCCCCTCGCCCTTTTCGCCGCGAACCCACACCGAATCTCCTTCAGAGTTCCAACTATGCCACGTTATCAAGCAGAGTTCGAAACATGGTACTTGGGTCCTTGGGAAGATGTTCTTTTGATCAGAAAATCAATGGTAGATCTTATTGCAAAGCCAATATTGACTGAGGTGACTCCACTGAATCTCGATGACCTTCTGCCCATTTTCCGAGCATCATACCCTTATTTTCCAGATGCATCGACGATGAGGTTCGCATTAGGCTTAACGCTACCTCTGCCCTGTCAGCTTTAACATCATCTAGAACGCACTCTGACTAGGATTGCAACTTTAAATGTCGACCATTCCCGGTTTGGACTAGAGGCGTCCAGGAGTCCCAGGCGCATGCTCCACCGATTTCCACCAGATCACGTTTAGAGGATGAGAAGGGACGGGGATGAGGAAAGGTGCAAGGAATCATGAAGGGAATCAAGGATGAATGGTCCCAGGAAGGCTCCACTCCCGGATCCGCTTTCCAACCGCCTTCCAAGGGAATTACCTAGGTAGTACTTTCTCAGAGGTTCTCGGTTCTCATTTGGTATTACCGTATTACCGTATCAGTGTATCAGTGTATCAGTGATCACTCATCAGTAGTAAGCAGGTGCCCAAGTAATCTTCCTAGTCGCAGAGGACCCCGACTAGGGATCCAATCATCCAAATATCCCAGCAGCCATACACCCTGGTATCCTGATTCAAAACGAAACCCCTCATATGCATGTGTGTTAAGCTTCTCCATATCCACGATGATACACCCGTTTTCTCGATCGACTTTTGCCCGTGTGACGTCAGGGCAATTGCAGAATCCCATGTTGGAGACTTGGAGACTTGGAGTATCTCCATCTTGGGCTTGGGGTGGACCGTGGAGAGTATAATGAGAGACATGATTGTGACTCTTTTTGTCTCGACGAGGTGTTTGGATTGTGATTGTGATTTTGATTGTGACTTTGATTTTGACTCTGGGACTCGGAGCAGGAAGAGGGTGATCCCATCAAGTCACTTTATGGATAACTTCATTTCTTACATAACATTTTAACTTTGATGCCTTCATCTCCGTACGCCGTGCCTAATATCTATGGAAATTACTTTGATCGGGATTCATCTTGATTCATCTTGATTCAAATCATTCTCGTCACAAAACTCGCAAGATCTACGGCACTTGGTGATGAATTATTTACCGTTGGTGGGTGGCGTCTGGAGAAGACCTAGCCAAGTATACATACAATTTCAAGACTACTCGACAAAAATTATAACATACAGATAGATAGATAGATAGATACGCACACAAACAACACAACAACACATAACACACACACATACACATACACACACATACACATACACATACACATCCATCCACACACCTCTACCCTTCCCATTAAAATAAAATAAAAAACTTTAAAGGGTCCGCTGCCCAGAAACCTCCATTCATGATTCATCCCTAGCTAAAGACCACGAGTGCGTGCGCGTTTCGGCATCATCGGCTTAGTTTATCCAGTTTATCTCTCGACGCAACAGATCCATACCTTTGCTACCATGTCCGCGTCCAAGCTTCTTGTTCCTGGCTGATGGAGCAACGGGTCCCCCAAACCAAACTGCGGATGATGGATCAGGCAGTCAGTCATCCGTACGTAATTCTTGGATCCCTACCTATCCCTTTTCAAGTAGTATTTCCTACTTGGGCTTTTGTTATGTAGGTAGCTTGTCACACCTGGGCTCTGTAAGTATGTACAGTAAGTATGTATCCGCTCGGGGGTTTTCTACCGGGATTTGGGATTTCGGTTCTGTTTCTGTTTCTGGTTTTTTTTTGGTGAAGATGTTGGAGGTATGTTATGTTATGTTATGTTTTGTTATACAAATTCTTGTGTTTGTACGCAGCGTATACTCCATAGGCTGTTGAATAGTGATTTGAAAGCCTACTTCGTACTTACTTACACTTCGTACATACATACTTCCAAAGAGACAACCACCCACTCCAAACATCGATAAATAAAATTTCTCGAGATAGGGAGATCGAGAGCATCCATCTCATCCATCCATCACCAAACAAAACGGAGGAATCTCTCCGCCACAAATGAGCAACATCCTAGAAGATGGATTACTCAAACTCAAAGCATGGATGGTAGGATCTGTCTGTCTGTCTGTCTGTCTGTCGGTGACTGTGTACGACAAGAGGTGAGTGAGTGTGCAACGCATAGCATATCCTTCGTATCATATCATATCATACATAGTACTCCGTATATGAAGAGAAAGTTTGAAACGAAAAGTTGGCAAAAGTGGTGGTTCGCACAAAGTTGCACAATGGTGGTGGGTGTAGATAGTAGGCAGTGATCCATAGAGTAGAAAGCGAGAAAGCATCAAAATCTACGATCATTTGGCGTGGGGTAGAGCCGGAGATGACTCCGTGGCTCCTATCTCCTATCTACCTATCGGAGGTTTTTTGGGGGAATTGGAATTGGAGGCGAGCGAGCGAGAATCTTCAATCTTCAATCTTCAACGTCAAGATTGATTCGCAAGATATAGATAGATACTAGGTAGGTAGGAAGAGAAAGTCACGATGTTTTTTTTGTTTTTGTTTTTTTTTTGCGACGACGACGAGGTGAAATCTTCTTTTGTAAAATCGTATTTTGAAGATGATCCCAAATTGTCTTTTCATCGTGTGCATGTAATACAAGTAGACGATTTTAGTAATTTATTCAATTGTTACTGTATATGATATAAATATATATGTATCTACGAACCCAACCCCCAAAAGAGGGGTCTCAGGTTAGATTCATGATAAAACCAACCCGATATCAACTACCTATCTACTCGTACCTAACATCTAAACATCTCACTTTCAAAAAACCAGGCAATGAGAGCATAACATAGCATAGCATAGCATAGCATAGCATAACATATGCAACCTCGAATCTACCTACACTACAAACGAGTCCAAACCAAACCTATGAAAAAAAAGACAGTGTAACCAAAACATTACACCAACCGACATTTTCAATGTTCACCCTCCCTCACAGTTTCATCCAGCCTGTCCTTCCTGTATCTGTACAGGTGACACGGAATACGATACGATGCGACGAAGGAGATATCTCCGCTGGCAGGCAGGCAGCTGGCTGGCTGGCTGGCTCGCCTCGCACGGTAGAGAGATGGGTGCGATGCATATGTAGGAAAGCGGATGCGGATGGCCGTCTTCTCCCATGCGTGTGGAATGGAAAAAGAAAGGGTGCGTGGGTGCGTGGGTTGGTATTGGGAGTGCTGGTGCTGGTGCTGGTGGGAGTGGTAGGATGATTGAGCACGGAGGAATTTGGATAGGGGGAGGTGAGATGGTGATCTTGAGCCTGGGGTGGGACGGATTATGTGTTATGTATATGTATATATGAATGTGTATATGAATGTATGTGTGTGTGTAGATGAATTTGGTAGGGTAGTACAGAAAACCCGGTGATACAATACCTACATGTGATAAGTGATGGCGAAGCGGAATGAGAAGACGGAGACGCAGCCGTCTTTGGAAGACCCTTTCTTCGAAGTCGGTAGGTAATTGGAGCGAGAGGACGAGGGAGCTTGGGAGCTTGGGAGCTTGGGAGCTTGGGAGCAAATGGAGAGACAAGCACGCACATGGACACGAGACAGACGAGGGAAGAAGAATTGCTGGAATTGCTGGATAGTGGGGCTCGGGAGAAGCAGGTGGAAGGGAGGAGGAGGAAAAGAAATGGAAGACCTAGGTGTGGTGTGAATGGTGTACCGGTACGTTGGCGAGGTAGATCTAGGGGTCTGGCTGAGATACATACAGAGATCTCCCATGTCAGCGTGGGAGATCTTTGGGAAGTGTGTCTGGAAGGGGTGGTAGTGGAAAGTTAGATACCTGGATACCTGGATACCTGGATACCTGGATAGATACCTGGTTATTTACTTACTTACTTACTTCCCTATGGATGAACGAGAGAGATTAAGATGGGAAAGTTTCGTGCGGTTCGACTAGTTTGATGGTTCGACGGGGATACGAATACGTTAGGTTAATGATGATTGAATTTCAAATTTTCCGATAGTATGGTTTGGATTTAGTAGGAGACTGGTAGGTGCTAGAGAATTTTTATTCTTATGGATGAATGTGAATGGATGGATGGAATCATGGATGGATGAATGGATGGATGGACGGATGCTTCTTAGAGGCAAAATTATCTTATTTTTATCCCTTGGCTCATATGTAACTATGACGGGGACAATCCACTGAAACATGATGACTTCATTCTTCATGGCTTAACTTTCTCTTCTCTTCTCTGTTACGCTCGTGAAGAGTATCTATCTAGTATTGAATGCGCTTCGTTCGTAAAGTATCATTATTACGAGTATACGTGTAGGTATGTGTTGTTGTAAGTAAAGTAAGTAAGGTATTATCAAAACGCCGTCAATATATCCACGTCGCAAAACGTATATCGACAGATCTTTATATACTTTACTTACTTTTGCTATATATATATCGTGTGTAACCTAAATACTAGGTACCGACCGTATCTAAGCATTATACTTTATGGTGGGAAGAAGAAAAGATGATGCTGTGCGACATGTGCTTTGTACGCGCAGACGCCATCGCAATGTTTGAGGAACAAAGTGGAGTGGACATTCATTGCCTTCCATCTACGAAGAACTGGTATGTCGGGGAGAAAAGATAATGTGATGGGTATTATTTCGGCATTGGAAATTGGTAGGATGGTTATGGTGTGTGATGTGACCCCGGTTTTTTGTTTGGGGGGGGGGGGAATTTTACTAGATGGGAGATGTTAGATGTTATTATCGTAGGCACTAGATACTTACTAAGGAAAATATTTGTGGTAATTCTCAGTACCTATCATAATACGGTGTTCAAAAGTTAAGTTTTCTTACTATTGCCTTGGGAGATCTTAGATGAGAGTTTAAATGGGTGATGAGAGAGCACGAGACCAATGGGTTATAGTATGATATCCCTAGGGCGTGAGTTGGTGCGTGAAGCAGAAAGATTAAAAAAGGATGCTTGGGGAATTTAAATGCGTGTCGTTGGGTTAGCTGCTTGGGAATAGAATCGAGAGATGGAGGGATGGATGGAAAGTTGGAACTGGGAAGGGAAGGGAAGAGGTTTGGGTTGGGTTGGGGATCAAGTGGTAAAGTTGTTATGGTTACGATATGTCAAATGGATTTAGTCCGATTAGCAACGAGTTAGTATGATGGCTAGGGAGGATGGTGAATAACGATTATCAACGATTGGCAACGATGACTAGATGCTAGATATTAGATATTAGATATTAGATAGCTAAGTAGCTAAGTAGCTAAGTAGCTCGGATTAAAATAATCATCGGTCGGGATTTAGACGGCTTGTTGGTTATACTTCTTCCGTCTGCCAGTCTGTCTGTGCCTTGCCCGGGTACTCAGGCAGATTGAGTGACTGGGTGACTGGGTGACTGGACTGGCTCGACTGGGTAGATGGATCGTGATGTGTAGCATGGGAAAATGAAAATCATGTAGGTTCCTTCTCACGCAGTGCTCGTACAGGAAGGACATGCATCAAGGCGTGTTTGTATGGATTCGTTTGACGGGTAAGGTTGAAAGTCGATACTGTATATACTGTACATACTGTACATATTGTACCAAGAAGGACGACATATAAATCTATCATTTTGTTAGGTGAGCAGTAGTCAAGTACCTACATTTATCTACATCTTAGCTACATTTACTGCATCTTAGCTACATTTACTGCATCTTACCTATATTTACTGTATCTTACCTATATTTATCTCCATCTTACCTACATTTACCTCCATCTTACATCCATAATAGGGTTTCCGATGCATCGAAGTTGCTATCGGGCTTAGATCCTACTCATCGACTGGCCTGCCTATCTAATGCCTTTTAATTTTGTAATTAAACCCAACGCAGTCAAGTTGGCATTCTTCATCCTCTGGCTTGGGTAAAGATTGTCATATATGTACCGTATCCTCTGCTTTCCCAAGATCCCGGTCGAAACCTTCACAGGAAAGAAGATGGAATATACGAAAGAGACGATGCTTCACTTGGGACACTTATTATTTATATTATATTATCACCTACCGCGGAATCGAGTAATTATACGACCGTATATCGCATACTATACCATATTCACACACATCCACACACATCCACCACACCAGAATACCACATCAACATCATACAAAACCCTTCTTTGGATTTCTTTTCCCCCCCCCTTGTATCCTTTAGGGATATTCATCAGATTCCCACTTTCCCATTTCTGTGCCCCACCAATATTTCCAACATTTTTTTGATTTTTGAACCCTTCCCCTTCCTTGAACCCTTTTTGATTTGACCCTTCATTATTCATCCCTAGTCATCCCTAGTCATCTCTTAATCCCAGTTCCCACTCCCATTTATCCACATTAAAATTTAAAGAAAAAAAATAAAAAGAAACTAAAGCAAAAAAAAAAAAAAAAATATAATTCATCAACTGCTCAGGCACATTTCACTCTAAGGAAAGGGACCCATGTGTAATACGTCCCAAAGCCAAATCCCATATCTTTCTTAAGAATCCCATCTTATCAATGACCCAACCATCCCCTCACCTCTTTATATTCCGAAATATATATCTCTTCTTTGAAATTCATTCAATTCAGATCCAAAAGAAATCAACGTCGACGCAAGATCTCTGAATTCTTTGCTTACGATATTAAAAGATATCCTTCCTATCAACACCTACCTACCTTACCTACCATCAGAACATTATCTCGACTCTTCGTCACCTCACTACCGTCAAACTTATCAACGCTACAATTCCATTATCGCTGATAGTCACGACCTCGCTACATCGCTATCTATCTCTCCACCTCCTTCATAGACTTCTATTCTACTCAGACTATTGAAGACTTCTTCCTATCAACCTACTTCGAAATAGATATATTGACTCAATTCTATATCTGTACCCGTCAATCCATCAATCCATCATATTTATATGCTTGTAATTGAGAATTTAACACTCATCAATTCAACTCAACACACCCACTATCGATATCCTCTTCCCTCCCACTTTCACATGTACTCGAGATTATCTACTTCAAATTCGAATATCATTGTTCAATAAAGTAGCTTCAATCTTCGATCTCCTCTAATAAATAGTCGAATTACCGCAATTCTTCTCAAAATTACTAATACGAATTCCAACTCAATTCGCATTCCACCAGATCCATCACAATGTCTTCCACAAGAAGACCTAGTATGAAGGGTAGAGATTCCTCGGGCCGCGAAGTTTCCTTGTTAAATTCCTCCACGACGGAGATGTCTCCATCTCCTGTATCACAATCCCAATCACAATTACCACAATTACCATTCAGACAACCTTCATACGATTCATATGGATCGCAAAGATTCTCTCAAAAATCTTACCCACCAAGCTCTCCACACATGGTGCGAACGAATTCCAATGCTTCAATTACAAGTCTTACATCGGTACCAAGTTTATTACGCTCGGATTCTTACGATTCATATGAAGCTCGATCACCACTCACCCCAACCTTTACCCCAAACGCTCATGGAAGAAATCATTCATTCACCGAGCAATATGGAAAGGAAACTCCATTTTATGAGCGTAGTTCCATGGACGAATATCGTCCTTACTCCACACAAAAACCTTATCAATCAACAAATGTACAACAATATTCCGATGAACAATATTATCATGAAGATTCTTATTCAGGAGTTACTGAACGTGGACCTGGAAAACGTTACTCATGTCGATACAAGGAGCTTCACAACTGCAATAAAACCTTCACTACCTCCGGTCACGCATCTCGCCATGCTAAGATTCATACTGCCGAAAAGATGGTGTGCTGCACATTTACTGGATGTATGAAGAAGTTCACCCGAGCGGACAACATGAAGCAACATCTTGATACTCATTACAAGGACAAGCCTAGATCAGCATCGAGCAGCGCATCATCGAGTGGTAGATTGAATGGAAAGTCGACACTTACCATGCCTGCCAGAGTACAAAAGAAGGCTTCTCCATCAATCCACAACTTGCAATCTCCAAGACCTAGGATGCCATCTCAAATCTTGACTTCTGAAATCCCTCCATTCGATTTAAGGGATCAACAACAATTTCAACCCCAACAGGATTCTTATTACACTCAAATGGGATCGGGTCCTTCGCCTACCCAAACAGATTTCCAAATTCTACCTACCAGACCCAAGAGTCCCAATCGTTTGGATATATTAGCTCAAGCAGCATCGGAAGATATGATTTAATTGGTAATACTTAATATCTTACCAGTTATGAGATATTCAGAACAAATCAGAGTTGTACAGAACCATAACTTTTGTGTTTGGATCACCGATTTCCTCTCCCCGCACCAGTATATGTTTTCAGCATATGCAGGTTATATTACTTTTTTTTTTTGAATACTGCATGAAATGCTTCTCCACATCTCATCGTATCTCGATTCTTTTGGCAGTTCTTGACTTCAAAACTGTTGTTCATTGGATGAAAAGGAAGGAGAGTGGCAAATATATATTGAATGCATTTGAAACTGCATTTGGTTTTGGCGTTTTCTTTCCGTCGGTTAATTTGTATGCCGTGGTGGTACCATTTTTTTCGGATGGTCTCGGGCTACATATTTATCCGATTCTTTCGATACTTATCGGGTACTCGGCTTGGGTGGTGGATGAGATGGTGATGCAAAAAGTTACTTGACTTTTACTTCTCTTCAAGTATATACCATTTTTCTTTTAGAGGCTGTGTGCGTGTGTGTGTGTGTGTGTGTGTGGGAGGGGTTTCTTTTACAAAGGTTCTTTTTCTTTTAACAGTATATACCATGATGATGCGGGTTCACGATGTTTTTTTTTTTGTTTTTGCATGGCTTGGAAGGATAGAGATGAATACGATTCTCTGATTCGGTGGATTGACTTGGATCTATTCATTGTGAATGATCAGTTGATGGAACAGATGGAATGGAAGTAATTATGTGATTTGTTTGATGTGGGCGGGAAGGAGAATTAAGAGGGAAATTTTTATACCAAGGCTGGATGATCTGGATTGGGAATGGGAATGGGAAATTTTATGGAATGGATGGCTTGGCCGGGGGATTAGGGAAAAATATGATATAAAGGAGTTGAGGTTTTTTATTTTTCATTTGTGTTTTTTTTTGAGGTCTTTTTTGAGTGGTACTTTTTTGTACCTACCTCACTTACTCGTGGCAATGGCAATGGCAATGATACCAGGTTAAACAAGTCTTGCATGTATATGAGCACGAGCTTGTCTGTTTGGGATGGGGAGGGGAGAGGAGGGAAAATTGGATGAGACGAGATGAGATGAGATCAGATGAATGGGATGAGGAATGGAATTGAAAATATTAGCGTTGGGTATTGTGTGTAAGGGGAGGGGAAGTCAGCGAAAGCTAGATATATAGTACTAGTTGTGTTGGTTGTGTGGATACCAGTGTTGGGTATCAGCGATTATGAGATATAAAAATAAAAATAAAAATTTATATATAAAAGAATATACTTTGAGATACTTTTTGATATAAGTGAGCAGATTGTGAGGGTTAGTGTGTGTGGGTGTAAATGTGAGTGGAAGGATGAAGTGTAAGTGTGAGTGTTAGTGTGAAGTGTGGTTGTGAATGTAGGGGGATGGAATGATGGGGGATGGAATGATGAGGGATGGTGAGGGGATGAGGGAAAGGGGGGAAGGGGGTTGATGAGGGTGATGAGGGGGATGAGGGGGATGAGGGGGATGAGGGGGATGAGGGGGATGAGGGGGATGAGGGGGATGAGGGGGATGAGGGGGATGAGGGGGATGAGGGGAGGGGGATGAGGGGGATGAGGGGGATGAGGGATGAGGGGGATGAGGGATGAGGAGAGTGGGTGTGAAGAGATTGGAGAGATGAGAAGAGGTTGGAGAGTGAGAGGTTGGAGAGTGAGAGGTTGGAGAGGTTGGAGAGGTTGGAGAGATTGGAGAGATTGGAGAGATCGAATCATATAGTATATAATAGAGGTGGTAGTTTTGAGACTATGAAAATAGCGAGGTGGGAGATACCTAGAAAGAGGGAGAGGGAGAGGGAGAGGGAGAGGGAGAGGGAGAGGGAGAGGAAGAGGGAGAGGGAGAGGGAGAGGAAGAGGGAGAGGGAGAGGGAGAGGAAGAGGGAGAAGGAAGGGTGAGTTTGCTGTGATATGAAGTCATATCATTCCCGAATCCTAATTCTGCAGCGAACATTGTCGATACTCGGATGTCTATACATAACTGGGATATACATAACTGGGATATACATAACTGGGATATACATAACTGGGATATATATACATAATGTCCAGTAGGACTTATCAAGTGATCTGCTACATGACTAGTGAGTAGTAGAGGTTAGGAATGGAATATATTTGGTAGGTGATTGTTTAGTGGCAATTGTTCCAATAAACAGACTTCACTTTACTTCACTTCACTTCAAGCCAGGCGATAGTACGGTAGTTGTGAATACTCCCAAACGATATACAATGCTAGACAAAGAACATTTTATCGCATCGTATCTCTCATTTTTCCTCGAGAAGGTGATAATTACCAAAATTTGGAGGTGGCAGATACAAGAATATAATTTTGCTAGAGTTGAGGAGTGAAGTCTAGATAGAATGAATGTGGGTCGTTGAAGCCTTCACTCAGTAACAAGCGACAAGAAAAAGGAGATGATAGTATGCAAAATGACAACAAACCAACTCTTCATCAACTCACTTTTTTTTTAAAAGCATAATTCACTTGTCTGCCAAACATTCACCTTAACATACCTAGGTACCTAGTACCTAGTAATTCAAACCTAGTAGCCAATTTCTTAGCGCAAGTAAAAATAAACAAGCTGTGATGGCACGTGACGCACAATCCTCGCCTCGATTGAATATATAATTTTCCAAATTCCCGACAGAGACCTTTTCTTCTTCAACCAACACGATATTACTTGGATTGGCCACTACCATTCCAATTGAAAACTGTAAGTACTCTTTCCATCTCCTTATATTCTTTTTACAATCTGCCATCATCGATATCGAATAATTCAACATATTGGCCGATTGTCTGCACATCCAAGATCGATTTTGGCATCAGATCGACCACGAGCATACATACACGCGCCAAAAATGTCATCCAAATTCGAAGGTTTACATGGAACAACATCAAGGCGCATGTGCCATACATCTATCCACAAAAATAAGAGAGCGCGCATTTTCATATGAGCAAAATGCCTTCTCGCCGATCAAATTTGAGAAATGCGACATTTTTCGCCTTACCTCGATCGGTGTACTCGATGTTGCAGATACCGGAAAATTTCAACATTATGATGAATATTGGCTAATACATTCTATCAATAGCTGTTCGCCGGCTCCCACCCTTCTACACTTCTTTTACACCACTTGTGCTTCTTCGGGGGCATAAGTTGGTGCGCACACTCTCCCCCCCCCCACCCCCCAACCCCTCGAAGAAAGAGCTCTTAATTGAGCTATTTCTTCCGAGATTCTCTTTGAGTTTCTCACCCCTATTCTGTCTGACGGAGTAGAAATTTAAACCCCCCCCCAAACCTGATCTCACGATCAGTAGTGTGTTAGCGTTTGCGAATACAAATTTTTTTTTAGAGTCTACTTACTTCGGTAGTAGTCTCGCCGTGGTCTTTCGAGTCCGCAACCCGTCGAAGAAAGAGCTCTTAATTGAGCTATTTCTTCCGAGATTCTCTTCGAGTTTCTCACCCCTATTCTGTCGTTTGACGGAGTAGAAATTTAAACCTCCCCCCCCCTCACCTCCTCCAAAGATGGTTCCTCCAAAGAACAATCAGGCCCCTAAGAAGGATAATAAGGCAGGAAACTCTTGGGTTCCCAGACCCAATGGAGGCTCTGCACAATCCGGGCCCAGTGTTGGACCGAAGCATGATTCCAAGAAGAGAAAGAACGCTGGCGGCAATGACGCTGCCAAAAAGAAGCAAAATACAAGCCTTGAGCTCTCTCTCTTCAAGAATGATGCAACCAGGCCAAAGGATGGGAAAGACAAACCTTCTGGGCCCGAAGTTAGGGCAAAAAAATAGGAGCAGGGCCGTAATGGTGGTACTAAAACCTGTCAATGCTTCCTTTGATGGCAACGATGAAATTAAGGTCTTGGGCCACCTAAAATCAACCTTCGAATTGGCATCGCAGGTTCCTGCCTTGAGATTGGAAGTTGATGGGTATGCGGTTGTACTTCATGTGCACAACTTTTTTGTAGAGAATGCTGGGTGTCTTACTTTTACTAATCAAGATCGCATCTTCAATAGAGTATTAATCCCATCAACAAGCAGCAGCGGAGGCGAAATCTTTAGTGTGAATGGAATTATATTCACATTCACCAATGAATTGGACATGCCCGAACTCACTGTGAAGCAGGCAGAAGAATTTTTCACATTTGGAGGAGGAGATCTACAAGCAAAAGGTGACGATCCAGCCGGCCAAAAAGGAGGTGTCCTCGCTCTTAAATTCACATTGAAGGGCCGCGTTTCGCCACCAAGAATGGTTACAGATGGTAAAAATTCGAACAATACTCGTGCTTTGGAGCTTCAAAGAATGTTAAATAAAGGTCCATTCACTTTTACCTTGGTTCGCAGATTCGGAAACTACCACGATGAATTAGATGCATACTGGACACACAGAGTCAGAGTATGTGCACAGGAAGGAATATGGGCTATGTACAACAATATCTTGTCAACCAGAGTGGGCCAAAGATTCGAGGCATGGATCGAAAATCCAGCAAAAGCACTTCCTCACGAACCTTGGATGGCAGTAGGAACCCCCGCGGAACATGAGATTCAAAGATACGAGTCGCATGAAGCCAGAAACAATTTTGGGTCTATGGCAGAGTGGGAAATCGTACTCAGCGCGGCTGTTATTCATGACGTCGCAGCCTCGGTCAAGCTGAACGAGCAATACTACAATTGGGATCGAACATATGAAGCAATTGTAAGGTATGTAAAGAATGATTATGTTCAACTTGAATTTGATATCCCAAGTCGTGGGGAGTTGTCCTTCCCTTCAATTAGTGGAAGCACTCGATTTCTCGTTAGATATGGGAGATGCACAACAGCTGAAGACTCTAATGCCGAGTTAGAGAATGACGAAGACGAAATTGAAAATGGTGAGATCTTAGAGGAAGAAGAGACTGAAGCCTCTCCAGGTGCTGCTAACATCACTAATAGCCAAGAAAGTTCTGAGACTAACCTTATAGATAATGAAAGAGGCGAGCAATCAATCTATGGTTCCAGCGAAGATAAGGTTGCCGTCCAGGATGTTGTGATTGACGGTATCAACAACGTAGAATGGACCGCTCAAGTTCTCGTGGCCAAGGAGAATAAGCAATTTGTCATTTCTTTCACCATGCCTCAAGGTAAGAAAAGAAAATTTCACGTAGGAAGCAAAGTCGATGTTCAACTGAAGGTCTTGAAGAATCACCTTGCTACAACACGACAACTTAAAGCTATTGGTATGATTGCCGAAAATAAAGCTAAGGACGATACTTACGGACGAATTCTCCAAAGATTTATACTCGGTGAAGGTATGGCTGATGTTAAACATGATATTGAGGATCACCTCCTTTCTTTGAAAGAAATCACATACAACAAACTACCACTACTCAACCAAAAGGTATACGACCAGTGGCTTGAAAGTTGCAAACTTAACCTTATGCAGCGAGAAGCATACGACGCGGTTATCGAGGATGTTTTACCAGCTACAATTATTCAAGGTCCATCCGGAACTGGTAAAAGCTTGACCTGCGCTGTTACATGCATTGGAATAGCACAACTTGGCTATAAAGTGCTCTATGCCACATCTACCAATGCAGCTGCAGAAACCGCATTGCTCTCGATCTTCAACGCAACCCAGAAACTATTCGAAGCTGTCGATCATCAAACAATTGGCATAAATCCCGCGCCCAAACTCCAGGCCGAGATCAAGGAATCAAAAGAGAACTTCGCTATCATCCACTTCCCAGCTAACGCATCCACAGAAAACGACTTTATGAAACGAGACGACGAAAGAAAAGATGACCAAGAAGATAATCCCCTCGACGCCTACCGAATCTCAAATCACGTCATAAAATCTTTCCACCGCAAAGCCAATAATCCGGAAGTAAGCAACACCACGCGCACCAAAGCCCGCAACTGGCTCGCGACGCTCCAACGAGTTCGAGAAGGAAAATCCGTCGCGGCAGAACGATTCGTCAGAGAAGGAATCGCCGAAATGGGAGAAGTTGTTCGGGACACCCATACCAAGATCATCATCTCCACTTGCAATAATTCTGCAGCGCTGCGCGATATGGGGTTTCAACCCCAGGTGGTGCTGGTGGATGATGCGTCTTGGGCGAGAGAACCGGATTGTATCGTCCCGCTTACGTTTGGGCAAGCTCATGTTGTTTTGTATGGAGATGTGGAGAAGAAGGGGGTGTGGCCGGGGGTTAAATCGTGGGGGAGTAATGAGTTTGGTGCGCAGTTGTCGAGGAGTCTTTTTGAGAGATTGGTTGCGCTGGGGAATATGGCCGTGGTGAGGTTGGAGTAGTGTGTTGTAAGATGTTCTTTGAGGAACTTTTTTTCTGTAGATTTTGAGGGTTGCTGGTTATGGATTTTTGACGGTGGTTCTTCTGTGCACTTTCTATCTATGGACCTATGTATACAGATGGGATTGTAGTATCGAATCGAATTGAAATTGAAATTGAAATTAAAATGATGTATATATGAGATAGAGTGTTGAAACGAGGAAGTAATGTATAAAGGGAAAAGATATTATCATTCTTATTTTCAATCTTCGTATTATAGGATTATACATAGTATTCAGCGAACATTCCTCATCCTCATCTCATGCATGCTCGTCAGCAGCTCCGAAAAATCTCCCAGGGAAATCCAAGTGCACTCCATCCAAACCTATCCTATTCCCTAATACCCCTCCCTACCCACCAACTTCTCCCCCCCTTAATTAACAAAAAATCCATCCTCTTTCCCCTCCTCGTTCATCTCCCCCCCAACATCCTCCTTCCCAAACACCGTCCCCTCAAACTTCGGCACATCAAAAGTCCCCTCGGGATCCCTCCCCTCCCTCAAAATATATTCTCCCACTCTACTCCTACTCCCTCTAATCTCCCCCAACCACCCCGTCATCTCCAACGCCACCTTTTTATTCCCCTTCGCCCCCCCCTGAATCGCCGCTTCCATAACATGATACCTACTAACCTCATTCCTCAACATCATATCAAACGGCGTGGTCGTCGATCCCTCCTCCTTATAACACGCAATACTCATTCTCTCCAGATTTGGTCTTCCAAAAAGCAATCCCTTAATCTCATTACTATACCCATGATAATTGAAATGAATGGGTTTATCCTCCGTGAACAAACTATTAAATTCCTCGCGGGTCAAGCTATGCGGGTGCAAAGTTTCCGCTTCCAGAATCATCAAATCCGTTACATTGACCACGCGGATTCTCAATTCCGGACACTTCTTACGGAGCAAGGCAGCGGCAACCACAACTTCAAACATGAGTTCGGAACCGATTCCTACGAGAACGACATCCGGATCAAGTCCATCGTCTGTGCTGCAGAATTTCCAAATCGAAGCACCGGCTTGACAATGTTTGTTTGCTTCTTCGGGACTGAGGAAGACGGGTTGAGGTTGTTTGGATCCAACCATGAGGTTTATGTAGTTGGTTGATTTGAGACAGTGGGCGATTGTTGAGAGGAAAGTATTTGCATCGGGTGGTAAATAAACTCTTGCAGCTGTTGGTTTGAGATTTAGGACTGCACCGATGAATGAAGGATTTTGATGCGAGAATCCATTATGTTCTTGACGGGTCCATGTACTGGTTTCGATGTAATTGAGAGATGAGAGATCAGCTCTGAAACGGGTTTCTCGAGCCATTTTGTTGAATTTACTATATTGAACCATCATGGTATGAATTATACCAAGGAAGGATTCATAGGATGGGAAGATTCCAGTACGTCCCGTGAGAGTATATCCTAGAAAATAATGAATATGATGCAAAAGAAAAGACGAGAAAAATAACGTACCTTGAAGGAAACCTTGACATGTATGTTCACTAAGAATTTCAATAACTCTTCCACCTTTAGCATGTGAAAATTCATCCCATTGAAAATCACGTCCTGTATGCTTAAATACTGCGTCAAGTTTATTACTGACGAGTTCATCTGGAGAGAAGAGACGAAGGGATTTTGGATTATCAACCAAAGTTTGATCAATAAGATCACCAATGGCTTTCATGCAAGAAACTTCTGTTCCTTTTTCAACACCATACTTCTTCCAATCTGGGACTTTTAATACTTCATGGTTTTTGTATGTTTCTGGTCTCTGGCCGAGTTTTTTATGTTCGGGTGGGATGATTGCCTTGACGGAGTCAACAACATCACCAGATTCCGTAAATAATTTAGCTGGTCCATATGATAGAAGCCATTTTTGGAGGTCAGCAAGTTGATCTGTATTCGATTTGACGGCCATGAGAGGAACTTGATGGGCATGGAATGACCCTTCAACATATTCTCCATCAACAATCTTTGGACCACTCCACCCTTTAGGAGTTCTCATGATGATTACTGGCCACTATTTGATGTTAGTATATTATTTTGATTTAGCAATGGGGGAATTACTCTTGGTTTCATAATTGGCTTTCCAGATCTGGCAGCCTTTTGAATTTTACGAATTTCATCAAGAGCCCATTGCATACTTGTTGCCATATCACGATCCTAATGTATGATTAGTATGATTTCCTCAACAGGACTCCACAGCACAATTCTCCCAACTTCCAAACAACTAACTTACGATATCTTCTAAATCCTCAACAAATCGACATTGATATCCATAACCAGTAAATAAAGATGCCAATTCCTTATCATCCATACAACCATAAATAGTTCTCTCAGAAATCTTGAAACCATTCACATGAACAATTGGAATAACCGCACCAGATTCCGCTGGATCAATATATTTAGCTGCATGCCATGCAGTAGCTGTTGGACCCGATTCAGCTTCACCATCACCGACTACACACGCAACTACCAGATCTGGATTATCCATCACCGCACCAAAAGCTACCGAAAGAGCATATCCAAGTTCTCCACCTTCATGGATAGAACCTGGAACTTCGGCACTGATGTGAGAAGGAAATCCAGAAGGGGTACTGAAACCAGTAATGAGGTTATGAAGACCTTGTTTATTGTTGGAATATTTGGGATAGAATTTTGCCAAAGTGCCTTCTAACCAAAGGGAAGAAAGAATTGCTGGAGCTCCATGACCCGGTCCAACAACATATATCATGTCAAGATCATTCTTTTTAGTGAGATAGTTGAGATGAGCATACACCAAAGTAAGACCAGGACATGTTCCCCAATGACCCAAAAGTCTTGGTTTTATATCATCAAATGTGAGATCTCTTTCCAAATAAGCATTATCAGAAAGGAAAATCATAGCTATGAAGATGTTAGCTTGAGTATAGTGATATTCCTTTTGCATTGATTACCAGCAGCAATGTAATTGCTAGCTCTACGAAATTCTTCAAGTCCTCTTAAATCATCATCGGGGATTTGTAACTTTTCCAATTTGACTGCTAAATCATTGACCGTTGCCGAACCGGGTATATTGGAATTCAAAGCTTGAGGATTTGGTCTATCTATGATTTCTCCAGGCATATTTGAGGTTATTGTAGATTGATTGTGAGGGGTGGTTTGAGGTTACTGTGGTTGTAAATGTAGTTGTAGTTGTGGTTGTGGTTGTGGTTGTGGTTGTGGTCGTGGAGGTATATCTTTATTTCGTTATTCGCCTCAATATATATCGTTTACCTTGATATCAAGCAGACAATACCGATATCTTCAAAAGCCAAGAGATAGAGGAAAGACGAGCAAAGTATTGAGAAGAAGAAGAGAGACAAATGGATTATTTCGAAGGTAGAATATACTTGAGAAGAGTAAAGATCAATTGAAAAGATAAACAAAATAACATTCCCCCTCCTACCATTTCTCCAAACACAAAACAAGCTCTCGAGCTCTCCACTTCTTCCGTCGTAACAAAGGAACAAGTGCGTCACATCTATCATTCATCATTCATCCATCATCATCATTATCCATCATACATACCGGGTATATACATATCAACAAACTAACGATGCCGACAAATCCGACACGATACCAATACCTAGACTGAGATGCATCCACCATTCACCATCCACGGCCAAGGCCAAGGCCAAGGCCCAACTAGATGTCGATTTCCAGTATTCAAAGGTTCTAGAAGGTATGGATTTTGAGAGAAACCCCGAGATTGGAATTCTCTCCATGAGTTTGGAAGGCATTTGATGCTATTTGATGTAATTAGTTTGTGATTCGTAGAAGCTTGCATGAAAGTCTCGTATTACGGTATTGGGTAGGAAGAAAGCTTGACGTTTGTATTAACGTCATACCCCTCTCTAATGAGTGGAGAAGGGATAAGGAGTATTTGATTGAGATCCGACCATCTTTATATATGGAAGTACGAGTAGTAGTAAATCAATTCCTCTCATGACAATCGCAGTCACATCACTCAATAGAAAGAAAGAATACATCTAATCAATATCCTCTTTCTGGATGAAACGAATACCCCCAACCCAACCCAACCCAACCATCACCATTTCATATCAAGGCGTGAGTGAGGCAAGTAAGAATCCAAAGAATCCACCATCCAAGATTTGCAGTATCTTCGTAATTCAATTCAATTCAATTCCCCTTCCCCTTCCCCTGCAATCAAACAACCAGACCAGACTTCCCCCTGTAAACATCCGCCCGTTCCCGATAATCCGGAAAAGCTTCTCAAGAGCTACCGGTATTCTTCTTCTATCCCCTGTAGCTTTGGTGCATCCACCAAATGTACGTAGACCAATCGATAAGTGTCAATTCTCGGCTTTCGATAAGAAATTCACGTACGACGACGTATGGCGGGGAATTTCTGGAACGTCATCTGTGCTGCTTTGGTATGTATGATACGATTATGGGACGAGAGGTGGAAAGGGATTGATGAGTGTGGGATGATTTTTTGGGCGGGATGTATTTGTCTACCTACTTAGAAGTATACTTCTAAATATTAAGCTTGGTTCTCTAATCTAGTTCATATATTTATTTGTATGGTTTCTTTCTATCAGATTCATCAAGATCGAAAATTGTGTGCCAGTGTCAGTGATAGGTTCAAAGAAAGACAACGATTGGAGATTTAATTCATACATTTCTAGGATATCTACCTACTCACATTACTACCTAGATACTCATTTACCATCTCAACCATCCATTGGGGATCTTGAACCTTTGAACTTTCGAACCTTCACACACAACAAACTACAAACCGCAAAACACAATCCCTCCCTCTCTCCCATCCACCACCACCTCCACCACCCACCATGTCCAAAATCATCCTCTCCATAAACGCCGGATCCTCCTCCGTCAAAATCTCCATCTTTTCCGCCTCGCAAGGCGACCCCTCCCCCAAACCCCTCGCCGAAGCCCAAATCTCCAACCTCACCTCCCCACCCCCAACCTTCAAATACTCCCGCGACGGAACCTCCATCCTCCAAAACCAAACCCTCGATTCCAGCATCACCGACCAAAACTCCGCATTCCAATACATCCTCACCCAGCTAATCGACGACCCCTCCTTCCCAGCCATCACCCAACTCTCCGACATCGCCCTCGCCAGCCACCGCGTCGTCCACGGCGGCGCCTACCAAACCAGCCAACCCATCACCGGGGAAACCCTCCACCACCTCGAAACCCTGACCGATCTGGCTCCGCTGCACAACGCCTCGGCCCTCGCCATCATCCAGCACTGCATCACCCACCTCCCTTGCACCCGCAACATCGCAGTCTTCGACTCGCAATTCCACGCCTCGATTCCAGAGCACATCTCCACTTACCCTATCGATCAGGAAATCGCAAAGAAGAATGGTCTGAGAAAATATGGCTTCCACGGCATTTCCTATGCGTTTATCACGCGGAGTGTGGCGGAGTTTTTGGGGAAGAAGGAAGAGGAGACGAATATTATTGCGTTGCATTTGGGCAGTGGGGCCAGCGCGTGCGTGGTCAAGAATGGGAAGAGTTGGGATACGAGTATGGGGTTGACGCCGTTGGCGGGATTGCCGGGGGCGACGAGGAGTGGGAGTTTGGATCCGAGGTATGTATTTTTATTTCTCTACTTCTATCTCTATTTATTCATCTACCCCTACCTAAAATTCCCCTCTCCCAAACCCCCCTCTCCAATTCCCCCATCTCCTCCCCATCACCCCCTAGCTAACACCCTCCCCCTCTAGTCTCGTCTTCCACTACGCCACCAACGTCGGCAAGCTCTCCCCCAACTCCACCTCCTCCCTCCACATTTCCCGCGCCGAAGAAATCCTCAACAAAGAATCCGGTTGGAAATCCCTCACCGGCACCACAGATTTCGGCACTATTACCTCTTCCTCCTCCTCCGATCCCACCATGAAACTCGCATTCGACATCTTTGTCGATCGAATCCTCTCCTACATCGGACACTATTATATATCTCTGCATGGAAATATCGACGCGTTAGTTTTTGCAGGGGGGATTGGAGAGAAGAGTGAGGTTTTGAGAGAGAGGGTGGGTGAGGAAATTAGGTGTTTGGGGTTTGAGATTGATGGGGAGAAGAATGCAAAGAAGATGGAGGGAACGGTGCAGGAGATTGGGAAGGAGGGGGCGAAGCATCGTATGTTGGTTTGTAAGACGGATGAACAGTTTGAGATGGCGAGACATTGTGTGGTTGATGAGGGACTTTTTGGGGAATGAGAGGAGTGGACATGGGGGGAGTCGAATGATTGTGTGCTGCAAACATTGGGAAGTGGATTGCGAAGTAATGAAGTCAAAGAATATCCAACAGAGTAAAATGAATGAAGGTATCAGCGAAGGAAAGAAAAGCAAGAAAGGTAGAAAGCAGATTAAACCCAATTTTTTGAGAAAATAATAAAAATCCAAAATACCATGCTCGCTACGCTACGCTCCATGGGTATATCTACAAAAAGACGAGAAGAGTACTATGATCCTCTATTTTGCATCGCGCCATAAACATCCAAGCCCCATAATAATGATAAGTTTCCAGCGCCACTAAGCAAGCCGCGGGTACGCTCGCAAGAATATCAAGCAATCTTTCAATGTCACCATCGCAGTCCTCCAGTCTTCAAATTATCCATCTCTTCATATAGTTCGATCCGACCTTGGATCTCCACTCATCAGTATTCCGAAGAAAACCAATCTTCACCTCACACATGTGAATTTCCACCATCATCCAATAAAAACCGGCATTCTACTCCCCTTCAAATCAGGCGGAACACCACATTTATCATCTTTATTCCAATCATGCAACAAAAGCCAACACAACATTCTAAACATTAGCGAAACCCAGATGATATTCCTCTGTTCCCTTTCCGAGGAACTCAACTCCTTCCCATAAATATCACATTTCGCGACCGCGGGCCGAATCTTCTCAAAATATATGTTCAGCAAAGGTTCTTCCTTTTGAACAGAAACGATGGAATTCAAAGAGGAATTAAAGTTAATGAGGATTTTTGTTACTTCATTCAAATGAGCAACGACAACTTGAAGAACATCTTTTTGTCTGAGTTCGTGGAGGAGGTACTTTGTTTGGTCGTCTATGGCATCGTGGATCTTTTCGCGCATTTCAATGCTGAGATTATATTCATCGATTTCTTTTCCGAAATGAAGGGATTGGATATCCCGCCATTGCTCAATGATTTTGGCGAAGGGATGAAGGTTGGAAGTTTCATCGTCATCACTTTCTTTTGCATAAATGTCCCTGAGCTTCTCCTGAAAGATGGTCATGAGTTTGGAAACTTTCCAAGCGGGTTTTGAACCGGCTTTTTTCAACCAAGGATCTTGAGTTGGGTTGGGAATCATTCTGAAATTGCTTCCACGAATTCGAGTAACCTTTCCAAGCATGCCGATGATTTCAAAAGATACTATGCAAACAATTAGATATGGATCTGCAAGAAGAGTAGAAGTGGAACCTACCAGAGAAGATATGCCTGTGATCTTTTCTGTAGCGCTCTAGTATATCAGGTGTACAGCCAAGTGACTCCAATGTCAAGTCCACATCATCTTGACTTCCAAACTTTAATTCTAAACTTTGAGATTCCGTATCATCCTCTTTTAAGTATCCCTTTTCCTCGAATATATTAGGTACCGTCCCAAAGCATAATGCCTTGATATCATTTGATGGAATGACACGATCTTGCTCAAATTTAGATCTTCCCGTAACAGTGAACACAACCATAACACCTAAACCATGAACCGACGTCGAGGTAAGAATAAAACCATTGCCTTCAGCTCTAAGGTTCCATTGTATTTGATCAAAGACCTTCCAATACATTCCCAATAATGCCATCATTTCCACCAGGTGACATATAGCAGATGTAGCATATGGTTTAGTCATGCTAGCTGGAACGAAATCCCAAGACCGAGTTTTCACCTGTAAACCCACAGCTAATTCGTACTTTGGAGGTTTTATCGGTTGATGTCCAACAGATGGTGGTCTACTCGGTCGAGTTTTCTTGTCCCATTCTCGCGATATTGATTCCTCAGTTTGTAGACTCGATAACAACGTAACCCAAGATGCCCGTTCATCATCTGCCGTATGAATCCGTTGAGTAGTTTCCTTGTCTTTCTTTAGTTGGTCAATCCGTTGGCGAACTTTGGTATTCTTGTATGATTCAGGAGTGCCATCGATATAATGAATTGGCTTATTCGAAATTGGACCCCATGGATTATCCGGCGGTGCAACGAGTATAACTGGAACTTCAAAAACGACCTCGACTCGAAACTCCCGTATCCTTAACTTTCGATGAGTTCCCTCGGACCAAAGCCCCATCACTGACTCGGCACATCGTCTATACCCCTCGGCACTCGAGAAATATTGCTGTGCCACCTGCAAACAAGTTGTCAAGAGTGCTATTACCGCAACAATCAATGCCACGAGCCCAAAAACATTTTGGTTGAGGTTATCCAAAGCCGACATATTTCTTGGCTCTCAGCCTCGTCTTGTCTGTCTCTCAAATTTCCTTTCGATTTGCAGGCAGGATCGTGAGTATATAAAACAAAATTCCTATGCAATCAAAACATCGCTCAAAATCGCTCAAAATCAAAATCAAATCGAAAAGACATGCAGAAAAGAATAAAAACAAAACAGCACGATCTCGAGATATATACAATGTCTATTAATATTGTACAACATGAACATCATCAACAGCGACACGAAAAAGTTACCTGAGCCCCCAACCTTGTGTATCTATCACGCATGGAAATGGGTGAGGCTGAAGAATTCATGGGTTCTGAATGGTTTTGCTGCTTGCCAAGCCACTGAGCCACAAATATACCCTGTGCTGCATGTCAGCTTGAAGGAAGAGATGCAAATCAAATCATTTTTGGAAATTTGTAAGTTTTGGATACCAATTCAGTATCTTATCATCTGATGTTGATAAAACTATGAGTATGTGGTGGATTTGAGAGATGAGATGAACTTATTGAGTGTGGAGTGCAAGCACGGATGTGGACTAACTAATATTTGAATATTTGACAAGAATTCATTAGAACCGATTTGAGAATCAGAGAGACAGACCTCCTTCCTGAACAATCTTGTAAATGCAAAGGTGGTCTAGAGTGTGTGTCCATTTCTTGTGTTTCACATTGTCTACAATGAACATGCAGAAGATGTAGAAGATGCACAATAATTAGATAAAAATGCACACATACATCTAGCTTCATACATATCATGAGTTCACATCATTTGCACGTACATCACCATCACCATCACTATCACTTAGAGACTAGAATGATATTTAAGATCATGATCAATTTTTTTGCCTATGAAATTCTGAATCCATAAAACCATCGTGTCAAATACATGAATATCCTCTGGTAGTACATTGTTTATAATCATGATCATGATCTTGAAAATAAATTAAAGGTAAAAGACCGCAAACATAAACAAATTGGAATTTTGTTTTGACACCCAGTCGTCATACAAATCAGATATAGTTTGACCATAGACGCCAATCAAATTAAGATAATTTGAAAACGTCAATCAAAGCGTGTGCATCATCCTATGCAATATGCCCACCATCCATGATACCAACACAAAGACTCTTAGAAAAGTCATTTGAGATCCTATGCAGTCAAAAGTAACCTTTCCTCCCCGAATATCACAATGTACATGTGAAGGAAGGCTCAAACGCCATGAGAATACAAGAATGGGAAATTCGAATTTGGTGATGACAGATAAAAATCAAGAATAAAAGTTTAATCTTGAGATAAAAACTTGACATCGAGAAGTCATGATGATTATGAAACAACCCATTCAGAGTCCTGAAGGTCTTTTTGAACGTCATGAACATTATAATCACTGTCGACATAAGTGAGGTCTGATGTCCACTTTTGTCCTGGAGCACTTCTTTCAGTCTTTGGTGGAATGGTGTACTCTTTTTCATCAGTCGAACTAGTGGTTCCAGCTCCCTCTGCACCAACAACCTCCTTCTTATCCTTCTTCGCCTTCTTCTTCTTACTTGAAACTTGCTCCCATTCACGAGAATCTTCAATGATGGTCTTGACACGCTCATCATCGTCACCATATCCTTGCCATTGAGTACCAGTAATCTCGCTCTCAGAGAAGTTTTCAGCTGGAACAACAACCTTGACCTTCTCATCTGTCTTGTTTTCGGCGGTGTCGAGTAAATCGAATTTGTTGACGGGAGCGTTGGATGTGTTGGAAGAGGAGGCAGTCCAAGCAGAGTTAGCAGCTTGGGAGGCCATGAATTGACTACCATCCTTAGCAGCTCTACCTTCAGCTTCTCTGGCGGTACGACGTTGCTTCTCTTCCTTGACCTTGCGTTCCTTTTCCTCTTGCTCTCTCGCAACCTTGGCAGCTTCAATCTTGGCGCGGTTTTGTCTTTGCTTCTTGGTTTCAGCAGGTTGAGGAGCGGCCTTGGCCTTCTCTTTCTTGGCTGGCTTAGGGTTGGTAGGTTCAGTAACTTTCAAGACGGATGGACCAGGAGCGGCAGGTTCAAGCATATCGGCGATACCACTTGCGACAGTAGAAGTACCCTTGGTTGGGCCAACTTCAGGAGAATCAGTCAAGGATTGATCATCATCAGCATCGCCAGCGGTCATGTTTCCAGAGTCCTTAATCTCCTTTTCTTGTGCACGAGATTGTTTGACAGACTTTTGACGATTTGTAGATGTAGAGGAGTTACCAGAGAATTGAGTACCAGCTTGAGTTTTGGCGAATTGAAGAGCGAATTTACGGTTGTTCTCCGCATCGTTATCATCATCATCGGAATCATTGGCGACCGGCTTAACAGTTTCTTGTTTGGGTTCGGGTTTTTGAGGAGCGGGAGTTTTCTTCTTCTCAGCTTTGGCAGAAGACTTTTTATCTTGTTCACCACTGCTCAAGCCATCCTTCTTGGATTTCTTGGACTTTGGTTCCTTGCGCTCTTCAACAACCTTGCTGGCTTGCTTGACGGCAGTTTGAGCTTTAGCCTTGACCTTAGATTTGTTGTTAACGTAGTAGTATCCTGCTGCCCCGAGGACAACAGTCCAGCCGATAACGGTGGTGAGTAAACTTGTGCTACTCATGATGAATAAACCGCAGATAGTTAAATGTCGAAGTGATGTCGTAATCAAGCTCTAGAGCTCTCTCGAATTGGGGATCGATCGATCGACTTATTGGGACATCAGGAGATGTTCTGACGAAGAAGTTTTCTGTTTCGTGTGGAATTGAATCAAAGTGATATTCAATTAATCGTCGAGATGACAATTTTTTGAAGAAGGATTTGAATATTTATGACTATTCGAAATAGAAAAAGAATGTCCTCGTAAGTAGGAGAGCAAAAGAAGATGGGGGGGTTATAAACCCTATTTCGCCGTGTGAGTTTTGAGGAGAAACAGTATCGAGATGTGGCCTTTAAGATTAAGTACAGACCAAGTCGGACCCTAAAAAAGTATTCGGATCAAATCCTAATCATTATTGGAGCTCCCCATGTTTTCTAGCGTTGCTTTTTAAGTGTATGCAGGGGAACCTAATTGGGTAAGAGCTGTATCGGATCAATTAGTTCCGAATCACCGATATGACTAGATGACTTCTTTTGGTGCACCAGTGCTCGAGGTGGTGAATTTGAATGGGTGAACCACCAGTGAACTGTCTGAGAGGATTACATAATGACAAAAGGTGGGGTGTCTGAATCACAAACATAGTTTCGTAGGTGATTGCTTGATTGCTGTGCTAGACTGTTAGAGTAGACGAGGTAGACTACATACCTACTAGACTAGAGTAAACCGAGGGGATAAGAGATACATATACATTTTTGGACATCACATACGAGTATACACACATCTTTGAACTTGTAGCAACTACCTGTCTACAACACTTCTAGTTAACAATCAATCCAGCTAATCATTACTCAGCGAGACTGTTTAGATTATTAGTTCACTCCCTTATCATTCATTATATTTATCATTCTTTTCTTTCCTCTACTTCCATTCTAACATCTCCTTTCTACTTCTACAATCAATCGTCAAGTTTCCTTAGGAGGGGAAATATCAGAGAGAGATCAGGAAAACAAGAAACAACTACAACCTCAATCAAAATGTCTCTTAATCGTATCATTATTGATACTGATCCTGGTGAGTTATTTGCTTCATTGTTATATCAAAGATCATAAAACTAATTAGGGATTCTCCCAAAGGTATCGATGATGTTCTCGCCATTCTCTTAGCCTTGGCTGCAAAGCCAGAAGAGTTAGACGTCATGATGATTTCTATAACTTATGGAAATGTTGAAGTTGATAGGTATATTCAGAAAATCACATCAATGTTGTTAGCATTAACTTTGCTAATCAGATAAAAAGTTGTTTGAAGAATTGTGTAGCTTTGTTTCATGTCCTCGAACAGGAATTGAAATGGAGACAGGAGCGTGGTCAACTTGAGGGCTTTGATGCAATGAAGAAGTCAAAGCCTATCGTGGCTGTTGGAGCAGATCATCCACTTGAGGATGAGATGCTTATGGCAGATTACTTCCGTAAGAGCTTTATCAATAACTTCATATGAAGTATCAACTAATTCTAGCAATAGATGGCATTGATGGTCTTGGTGGTGTTCATACTAGTGTAAGATAAATATGCCCCTTCATTTTTCGCTCTTGGGACTGCTCCCTGACAGATTCCTTTTTAGCATCCACATCTATCTCCCGCCGATACTTGGAAGACTCTTTTCCAACCTCCTCCCGAAAATGCTACCGCCGAAGAAATTGCTGAGGCTCGCCTACTTGCGTCTCCATCTCCATCATTCACAGCGTCTCATGTTCCTGCTCATAAGGAAATGCTTCGCTTACTTCGAGAAAACCCTAAAGATACAATTACAATTGTTTGTGTTGGACCTTTGACCAATATTGCTTTGGCTGCTGCGGAAGATACTGAAACATTTTTAAGAGTCAAGGAGGTTGTAGTAATGGGTGGTGCGATCGATGTAGAGGGTAACATTACCCCTGTCGCTGAATTCAATACTTATGCAGATGCCGTCGCAACTGCCAGAGTATTTGCCCTTACAGGTCCAAACCCAATTACCACCATGCCACCGGTACCTTTGAATAAGTCAACCCTTCCACCATATCCTACGAACCTTTCCAGGAAACTTAACTTAACATTATTTCCCCTGGATATTACAACTCCACATCAGTTAATGAAGTCAGACTTCCAAGCGAAGTTGAAACCCCTCATCAAAGCTGGAAGTCCTCTCGCAGAATGGGTATCTGTATTTGTACACAAGACGTATGAGAAAATGAACTCTCTTGGTAGAAATTCAACATCAAACCCAGGTCTCGAGTTACATGATCCACTTTGTATCTGGTATATGTTGACTCGTTCATCTCCGACTTGGATGACTTTCCCAAGAGGGCCAGAAGATATTCGAGTTGAAACATCTGGTCAATGGACTAGAGGTATGCATATCGTTGACAGACGCATGAGAAAGAAGGCAGGAGTTGAACAAGTCAAGAGCCCTGGAGCTATTGATATTAGAGATCCAATGGAAAGCATTGCTTCCGTCGTCCATATTAATAAAGATATTGGTGATGTCACAGCCGAGGAGCCTGGAGACAATGGTGGCTGGCTTAGCGTTCATAAGGGTAACAGAGTCAACAGAATTGTTGGTACTCCTGGAGAGGAAGCTTTTGGACCTTACCTTTTGGAAAGAGTTTTTGGATAAACTGTATGGTTTGAATACCTAGTACTTTTGGATTACAGTACATACCATCACGTTGGATAAAGATGTGTTCTACTTAGAAGAAGCTTAATTTGGTAAATGAAAATTTGAGCTATCTGAAAACTGCCTTGACATGCTTTTTACCTAGGTAGTTACATCTCACTGATCCCATGATATAATTTCGAATTTTGGTAGATTTCCCTTGATATCTGAATTCGCTTTAGCCATCTTCATAGCCAATACAAAATCAAAAGGTTGGATATAAAAAGGACCCTTCTCATGGCACTCCATTCAACGCCAAATAATGCAGCATTAATAACATTCCACCCATCTTGTACGCACCCACGCTCGTCTGTACTTTTGTAAATGCCAAATTCTGGTATCTCTCCCCGCGCATTCTCCTTCTTTCCTCGACCCCTTGATTTCCTTCATTTCCAGTCGTCTATTCCATCCAACCAATGCCATGCCCTTAGACACTGATCCATAATCACCAGTGTCGGTTAAGAACATTCAGTTATGAATGTTTTGTCCCTCCAATGACAGCTCCCCTAACCTCCACCCAATTAATGCTATCATCCAACTCCTCATCCACCAATCCAACTACAACCACATTGTCACCACGGATTAGATAGAGACCGTGTGGCACTTCAATGGAAGCTTCGATATCTTCTGGAGGTCGGATTATGCGCTCGATAGTTTGGGATAGGACCTGTGGTTTGTGTAAGTGATTGGAGGGGTAGAGAGAAATGGTAAGTGAGGGGAGAACAGGGAAGAGGAGTAGGGAGACCGAGAGAGAATTGTATTTGGGGAAATAATAGAGCAAGAAATACCAAATTAGTCTGTTGATCACAACTCAAAAGTGTACCGACCAATGTTCTTGAATCCGCAGTTAAGATTAGAACTTTCTCTAAGGAGCTGTTAGGATACGGTTGTAAGTCTTGCTTGTTTTTATAGTTTGCGCATATAATAGGAGTGATTAAATGAACAGTTCGAAGAGGAAGGGGCAGAAAGAAGGTCAAAAAAGGGTAAACTTACTGTTTACATAGCTAGAGAGTGACATTTTGAGCTGGAGCTGCAGGAGCAACTCTGCTGTGAGAAATGATATCACGAGATGTGACGGTGCGGTTAATTACGGCTTATGTAATCAGCTCACTTTTGATAAGGTGAATTTGAGATTTGCTGCGTCTGCAATTTGGACTGGTAAAGGTTGTTATTGTTTTGGAAACTTCAACAATTCCACACTTACAATTCAATAACCAAAAAGTGATGGCATACAGAAATCCGCTTGACGGAGTTCGGGAGAACAAAGATCCGAAGCACGGTCCTCAATCAACTTTCAGGAACCCCCCAGAGTTGCTCCATAAGAGCTGTTCTAGCAAATCGACCAGAACTCCTCGCACAAGAGATATTCCAACTTACGGCACCGAATATTACTTGTCAGAGCAAACAGACACTTCTGGACGATCTGTCTCTGGTAATTTCCGATTTAAAAAAGATCGCATCGCACCGTTTACACCCATCCATCCCGAATTCGCATCTGGCAATTCGGTCGCAACAGCCACATCCAATTTCCACGGAGTGATTGTTGATGAGCTCGATCGAAAATTGAAGGGAGATCAATTGGCAGGAAGCAAAACAAGCTCTGAGGACGAGCAGGTAGAACACGAGAACCTCACCTATATCGATTCCTTACAAGCTGCTTATATTTACGAAGCTTCTGACAAGCAAGTTGTAATTGGACAATTCCAACCTAGTCTTGCAGAGACAAACAGTTCCCTAGGTATTAACATCTGCCGTGGATTTGATAGTGACTTCCAAGAAAGCGGTCGTCTTCATCGAAAAGCCAATATTGACAAACTTACCGACCAGTTCGTTTTAGACTTGTCAGAAGAAGGCAGAAATCGCTGGGAGCTCGAGGAAAATTGGCTCAAACAGGTGTGCGATATTCATCAGTCCCAGGTCGACGAAGATCAATACAACGAGCTTCTTTCCAACTATTAATATGTCGTTCCTATTTTCTGCCCCAGTCGATATTGATATCGTTCTGGAAGATGGAGATAGTCGGGAGACAGTAGAGGTTAAGAATAAGAGTAGTAAGGAAAGGGTACCGCTTTACAAAGATGGCGAATCAGTTAGAGGAGCTGTCACCATTAGACCTAAGGATGGGAAAAGGTTAGAGCACACGGGTATTAAAGTGCAATTTATTGGAATGATTGGTAAGTCCCATCTTTCAGGACAGATCTGGTCCACATGTCCTCTTCAACTTGCTAACATGAAACCTTACAGAGATGTTTTACGATCGAGGCAACCACTACGAATTTCTGTCATTAGGACAAGAGCTTGCTGCTCCTGGTGATTTACAACATCCGCAAGCTTACGACTTCAACTTTAAAAATGTCGAAAAACAATACGAATCTTACAATGGCATCAATGTCAAGTTACGTTATTTTATCAAGGTCACCGTTTCCAGACGAATGGCAGATGTGATCCGCGAAAAAGACCTTTGGGTATTTTCTTACAGAATTCCTCCGGAGATGAACAGTTCTATCAAAATGGATGTTGGTATTGAGGATTGCTTGCATATCGAATTTGAATACTCGAAATCGAAATACCACCTCAAAGATGTTATCGTTGGCCGCATTTACTTTTTACTCGTTCGTCTCAAGATCAAGCATATGGAATTATCTATCATTCGACGCGAAACTACTGGAACGCCTCCAAACCAATACAATGAGAGTGAAACTTTGGTACGATTTGAGATTATGGACGGTTCACCATCAAGAGGAGAAACTATTCCCATTAGACTTTTCTTAGGCGGCTTTGATTTAACTCCTACTTTCCGCGAGGTCAACAAGAAATACTCCACCCGCTACTATTTGAGTTTAGTTCTCATCGATGAGGGTAAGTTTCCTCTCCCTTTTAACTCTTTCTTACAATTAAGCTAATAACTAAACAGATGCCCGACGTTATTTCAAGCAATCCGAAATCGTTCTTTACCGTCAACAACCAGAAGACGCTTTAGCACTTGGTCAACAGACTAAGATTGCTGGTGCACATTCTGCTCCTAGTCCAGCGGCACAGAAACGACTTTCTGCTCAATAAATATCCCTCGTCGATTCTCAACTAATTTCTTTTATTCTTCCGTTGATACCAACAGCCCGTTTTCCTTTCCTCTTCCTCTTCCATTTCCTTTTTTTCCTTTTTGCGTGCGCGTTTTATGAGTTTACATAATGGGCAAAGACAGATAGGTCAATCGATCTGATCATTTGAGGGGAAAACCCAGTCCAGTAAAGATATTAAAACATGAAAAGATACCTATCTGATGACAAGAAAATTTTCATATGGGAGGGGCATTTTCATGGATGTACAATACGAGTCTCAAGGTGATAGGCTTTGATAGATAGATAGATATGGCGGGGTTCTTCTTTACTCACATGCATACAGTTACTTTTCCTTTTAGGAGTAAGGACGAAAATTGCTCGGAGATTGGGAATCGCGTCCGCGTATTATGAATAAAGACATTTAAAATCAAGACTCTCTTACTTTGGAATTATGTGTCTATTTATATGTGATTCCTCGCCTTTAGGTTCTGGGATGAATAGGTTGAACGAAAGATAAATGCACCTGCGCCAGCACCATCATCAAACTTCAGAGCCGGAGCTAAGAAAAGCTTCACATCCTCTTGGTAAATTTCTATCATTTCATGTAAATTTTCTATCCTTACAACATTTGCCTAAAAGATACCAAAAAAAATAACCATACTTTGAAAGCGATCAATCTCATTCATGATCCATCAAAGAAATGCCTACCAAAATCAAAACCAATCCGATAATTTACGCCCCCCTCCGATTGCTTTGCTCTGCTTATCTCGTTTGTCACCAGGCTTACATTACTCCTTATTCATTTTATCCACGCGATTCCGGCTTTCCTTTGTCATCTCCCCGCTCGCATTCCTCTTCGCTCATTTTCGTACTCCATTTCACATGTCCATCATATCTCCATCACCTCCACCTCCACCACCACCACCTAGACTAAACCGCCCGTTTTCAATCGCGGCCACACGATCCAACTCCTCCTGATACCCTCTCCTAACATCCGCCAATGTAACCACTCTTCTCTTAACACCCCCATTGGCATCCTCTTTGCCCCCCTTCAAAAGACCTCTACCAGCACCTCTTCCCCCATTCCCCCCTTCTTTTCCTTTCCCGCCTTCACACAAAATCCACGCATGTTTTGGATCCACACAACTCAACGCATTAATAACCGCGACATATTGTTTCGTAACCAATGTCTCTCCTTCCTCTCCTATCTCTCCACTTCCTATTTTACTATCACTTTCCGACGAAGCTTGAAGACGATATAGTCTCTCCAAAGAGATGGCTGCCGCACCACGGAAATCGGATCTTTGAATTCGCCACGCGTAAAGTATTTTATGGTATGGAACACCATTTGTAACTTCGACGATATTTGCGCATTTCTGGGAAAGGATTTCATCGACAAGATCTTGAAGACCAAGGAAAGGGAAGGAAATGAGCTGAGTAGCGTGGGAAGATTCACTCATTTTGGTAATGAGTAATCTAAGAGAGGATGTTTGTAGAGCAGTATTGGTGAAGAGGGAGAGGGCTGAGTAAGCGAGTTCGTAGCGAGAGGTTTGGAGAGCAGCGTGGAAGAGACGACTGTGCATTTCGGTACTGAGTTGGGGATCATGTTGGTTGGGTTTGATAAATTGGAGGGCTAGGCGGGAGAAATCGATAACGAAGGAGTACATTTTTTCGTTGTCGTATAGAGAAACAATGTGGGAATAATATTCTGGAAGACCTGCATTCAGAAGATTCTTTTCTGTTTCGTCTAGGAGGCCTGCACTGTGTGTTGCGTGCCTACCGTGCAATGGAAATGCTAGAAATCATCGTTAGTTATGAAAGGTCTAAAAATAATCAAAGGGAGTTGTAGCTTACCCATCCCAAATGCAGCCTTCTTAAAGTGCAATGCTGCTGTGCGTGGGTCATTGGCAGCCAGGTATGCTCTTCCTTGAATATACGTAGAGAACGAATCATGCTCAGTGAAGCGTGAAAACTCCATTGCTAAATCAGACTGGTTATGCTTCAATAAGAAACATTGAATGATAGCAGGTGAAGATTCGTATTTGCTATCAGGTTTGCATAGTTCAGTAATAAAGTCTGTCAAGGCTGTAGGCATCGATACTGCCTTATCCAATCCGAATAAATGTCTATGAACACCTTCCAGAACAGTGACAGTCTCATAAGATATTGGATTCCTAGACAAACTGGATGTGGAATCATCCAATGATTTTGAGCTTTCGCGAGTCGGAAGAGGTATATCGATCTGGGTTTTAGCCAACCATGAAACAAGTTCGAGCCTTTTGAGCAGAATTAAAAGTTGATTGAAGACCGCACCGGTCTCAAATTGGATACCTTCTTCTCCATGGTTAATTTCAACCTCAATAAGTATTAACAAGAGAAGTTGATCAAGACAAATGCTCTTGTGTAACTCAATAGTCTCTTGAACTCCTCTAACAATCAATCGATTACCGGCGTTGGCTAAAGGTAAAGGATGCTTCGAGTCCTTTCCAATAGAAGTGATCATGGATTCGAGAAGAGCTTCGTACACGTGAGAATTGACATCCCTGAATGTACCTCCCAAATTTGTCACTAGTTGATGATACTCCTCATCACCAATTTGATTCGAGTAATCACACTTATCATATAAAGTCTTCATCCTCGCTGATGGCAGAAGCGTTGGCTCCTCGTAAAGTTGACCCAACAAGGCGGAGCGGAAGCCATGATAAAGAACGTCTGGAACTGCCTCGCCGAATAAAGAACCAGCTGTGAGAAGAGTGGATACATACTCCATCCCAGCAATAGTTTGTTCAGGGTTATGCCATATCCGTTCTAACTCGCTACAACCTCGAACTGCTGATATTCCATCTGCTGATACAACCCAAGGCATCTCTCCCATAGGGTCAATAGTTAAAGATAAGGCTTCACCTCTTTGTTTGTCTAGCTCAACGAGCAGTCGATAGAATCGCCTCCATTGTGCATCAGTGGCAAGGCGAAATTGTTCAAAATCAATACCTCCGTCTGATGCTTTACCTAACGTAGCAGTAGTTGCAATGCTTGAACATAAACGTTCAGGTAAAGGTGCGGATCTCCGCGATGCATCTCTCGATGTTCCTAGACCTCTTTCGTAGATGGCCAATCCAGTCTCGATGGTTGCATGGGTGAATTTCCCAGGATATAGTATGTACGCTAACCATTTGTCCGTTGAATCTAAAGCATCGCCAGGGTAGGCGGTAGGTATGGGCGTTTGAGTCAAACTTTCGCTCACCATAGCTTCCCAGCCCTCATCCCACGATTGCGCAACGTCCTCTTCACCACCACTTCCAAAGTAAAGCTTTTGAACTCGATAGGTTGTATTATTTTTCCACAAAGTCCACAAACTCAAGGAGTTTCTTGTTCTATCCGGAATGACTGAAAAATCTGCCATGGTCCAAAGGTCTAAAGTAGGCGCTTGAGGGACCAAGATGTTATTGGGGAAAGAATCTGATACGACGAGATCTCCACTGTGAGCGGCGGGAGCAACATGCCAAAATTTGAATTGTCCTTCACCAATTGGGGAGTATGTAACACATAGAGCGCTTTCGTTGTTGTGGCCATAGACTTTGACCAATTGTGAATATGAAGGATCGATCACGGATTTTCTAGGGTTCTTGGGATCTATTTCCTGGCCGAGAATATCACCAACGTATGCGATTCGTCCGGTAGTCAAGTTCCAAATTCTGAGATTGTGATCCAGAGATACCGTGAAAGCATATGATTGCCCATCGATGCTAGCTGATGGTGAAGATATAGAAGTAACTGCGGATAATTCAATGTTGCTGTTTGCGTATCGAATAGTGTTGCTTCCTTGGAAAGGCATCAAGGCCTTCAACCCATCTCTCCACCCACCTGGATTATAGTGTAGTTCTTTCCACTCCGAACCTATTTTACCTGTCAGTTAGCCACATCATTTCCAGAAAGCAGCTTTGACATACCATCTCCGCCAGATTTTCTGTCTAACTTTAGAAGCCCCCCATCGAAATTAGAGATTAACAACTCATTCGCACTAAGCGCAACCATCCTATGAGGCTTCTTAAAGCTGAATACCGATGATATATACGATTTGCACCAATTTCCAACATTGTTTTCAGTGCTCGAAGGATTGCGAAAGAAATCTGGCCAAAGTCTCAGAGTATAAAGGTGGTGTGTTTCCGTCAAAACAAATGCGCTGACATAGTCGTGTTCCTTGCAATCCGCGAAAGCAATGCACCCGGGTTTAATAGCACTTGGAAATTGTAATCTCAAAGTAAGGTGTGCATCCGTCGTATTTTGCTGTTTCGATACATCGACCGCTTGAACCGACAGCACCTTTCCATCCTCCAACACTCTCCATAAATAGCTTCGGGGAAAGACATCTTGTGTGCGATGGTAAATGGATCCAGCAGCAGCTAAGTATTTTTGTTTGAAAGTTTTTTCATCCTCTGCAATAGGTGATTCTGTAATATGAGGTCGCTTTTGTACTATTCTTGAGGCTGGAGTGCCATGTGCAGGTAAACGAATCGCAATTGTAGAATTTTGAATGGATGAATCGAGGTTTAGTCGTATCTCCTTATAGGAATAGAAATGTCCCTTATCAGCCATCTTATCCCCATCAATCGCTGGTCTCATGAAGAGTTTTGGTGAGTGTCAAGAGGTTGGCGCATGCTTTGTTTTGACGCGGTTCTTTCTAGAGATCGCGGCGAGCTTCACTTTTTAGGTAGGCGGCCGCTAGCGCGCTTTTCCAGCTACCATATATTTCATTGTGAGCTCTCGCTCAAGGCAAACTTCGTATCAAAGTAGGTGTTACCCATGGTATAGAAATTGATATGTGCTACTAAATTACTAAATACAAACATTTCTATTCATAAAGGCTTCGCATTGATGAAAATGATAGAACCGTTTCCTCCCAAAGTTCACCATAAAGCTCCATTTGTCACCCATGACCGCTACCATGCCTCCATGCCAGCTAAAGAGCAAAGAAAAACAAATAACCATTAGAACCCCATAAAATCATGATGCATCTACCCCAATCAAAACTCTCTAATCCTTCTCCAGATCTTTTGGACTTGGATCTCCGATACCGTCTTCATTGATAGCGAAAAGACAATCACTCTCTGGTAAACAAGGACTATCGTAGATCTTGCAAATTCTAGTCTCTCCACGACCCTTCTTGAGACTTAATCTAGTGGTACTTGCATGTGCAATAATATTACCTCCGATAGGTTTCTTGGGGTCTGGATTAAACATAGCACTTGGCCCTCCATCAACTTGTGCAACAACCTGATTTGTGATTACCACAGCAATACCAAATTCATCGGCTAGCCGTTGAAGCATGCGCATAAATTTTGCTAGATGCATTTGTCGAGAAGACAATTCACCTCTTCCTGTGAAATCTGTGCGGTAAAGTGCGGTGGCACTGTCAACGATGAGTAGAGAGAATCTAGTTTCGCACATCATTTGTGCTGCTTGATTAAGAAGTTGCAATTGATGATCAGAGTTGTAGGCTCTTGCATATGCAACATTGTCCAAAACTTCTTCTCCAGATAGGCCGTATCGATTGGCTACCGCAAGTAAACGTACAGGACGAAATGTGCCTTCCGTGTCGATATACAAACATTTGCCTTCTCCGCCACCCATATCAAATGGCAATTGACAGGTAACTGCTAGAGTGTGGCAAATTTGACTCTTTCCAGTACGGAACTCTCCAAATATTTCGGTCACAGATCCTGTTTCTACTCCACCCGCCAGAAGTGTATCTAATTGCTTAGAACCGGTCGTAATAGATATCAATTCGCTTCTTCGTTGATGCATTTCGGTGGCGGTTGTGAAACCCATAGGGACCAGTTTCGATGCTATTAAGATGTCAGCAAGTCCGTAGGAGACTCCATGGCATTATATATAACCGACCTTCCGTAAGGATCTTTGTGGCTTTCTGTTCAGAGATACCCTTAATTTGTTCTAGAATTCGCCGCGGGGTGTATGCGACAGACTCTACAGTATTGTAACCACCATCCACGATCATTTGAATGTCTCTCTTAGTTAGACCTGCGACTCCCTGGCATGGCTGTTAAAAATGTGCGATGTGAAGGAAATGAAATGGCTTACCTCTAAGGCAGAGAGTGGCGTTGGTGCACCAGGACCTCCCATTCCTCCATCGTCCCCAGATTGAGAGGCTTCGATTTCTTCTGAAGTCATTTTATGGACGAGATGTTTGAATTGTAATGAAAGTAGTTTGGTGAATTCCCAGAATGAACGGATCGAAATGAAAGTATTGAGTATGTTTTTATGTTGTTGTTGAAAGTGTGAAGATTAATTCTTGGAAGGAGTGGACGCGTTGCTGACGTGCACCCGAAGATTAGCCAAAATCACGATTTCACATGATTTGAATGGCTGTATTAGTCATCGGCTAACCCTCGATGCCGGTGTTCAGGCAAATCAAAGATGTAATTTCATGAGTTGTATACTCTATTGTCTTTTCTGTTATTTTCTTCCTTCCAAGTCACTCAAAAATATGGCTCTTCAACTCCGTTTCTATAACGTTTCAAGTTGGTTGTTCTTTAGCCTCACACCCTGTTACATTTCCAGGCTAATCCGCTCCGTGATTATTCTCAAGTTACTGATGAAGTAGATATCATCCTTCGTTTAAAACCTCCATTTGCATAATGATAACTAGCATATAATCAACTTTCTGAGAGGTCCTTATACAGATGCAATAGCAGTAGATAGTCCAACATCCAAGCATTCTTCATCTCTCTGAGATTTTCCCGTGGAAAATCAACTTGAATGTATAAATTCTTGTCTACAAATAGCATCCCCACTCCCTTCAACACAAGCGGTCGATTCAAGCGATTTAACCCCTGGAGAATCCCTGCTAAGTACATTCTATCCACCCAACTTCTCGGGTCTTCCGCTCTCTTCAAACATGCACGAAGAACACCTTCTCGAATCCTAATTTGTAAACCTAATCTATACTCTACACACTAAAAAGAAACACTCTACCCCCTTTCCAGCAAATAAGACTCGCCCAAGAATCATTGTTCGAGGGTCCGACGTCTACTTGTAATACATCTGTCCCAAACCTCGCGGTAGCAGCATGCAGACAAGAAAGCTTCGGCGGTGCAACTTTAGGCCGAGTGGGAAAAGAAAAAAGATCATTGTTATTGTCCTAATCTTTATGGTTTATTGTCCCTGGAGTGGTGAGAGTGTGGGATTTGGAGAGGATGCTAGTGCTAGCGAGCCAGGAAGTTGTCTAAGTTGCCCAGGTGGTTGGTTTGAAGAAGACACAAGCACCAACATTCTTATTACAAGATCGATAGAGGACAAATGCAACTCAACACAAAAAAAGGATCTGAATATTTAATTATCATCTATCATCATACATCTCATCGTTACTCATTAAGCTAGACTACCTAAGCGATATGATTCATTTTCCTTTCCAAATTTCCCTTCTCACAAAGCAAATGTACGAATTTCCCATTCCCTTCAGACACCAATAATATTCAGCTATGAAATATTGAAAACGATTTTAACCCCCACCAGCCAAATTTGATGTAACACCACCTCCGTAATATGTAACGCCAATGATGCTTGAATCGCTCTGCCCGCCCATTACCCCATTATGTGTCGTTCATTCGTAAAATCTTCGCGTCAAACTGGTCAGCATCCCTTTTTGACTACTCCATCGTATTTTTCGTCACTGTTCAAACCACTGAAAATCTTGTCTTTTTCTGTAACTTGTTTGGGTGTAGTGGTGCTAATGAATCAGAGTTATTGACATTCCAACTCTCGTGACGGTTGACGCCTTTTCCTTTGATATCCATAGGTGGTTGAGTACCGAATGTGCCTGCAGGTAAAATCTCAAAACCAGAATTGACTCTCCTGATTGCCTTATTTTGATGAAGTTCTCCAGGTATAAATTGAGAAGATGGAGAGCGACTCTTAAGAAGTGGGGCCTTAGACTCGATGGTGTTGTCAGTATATCGTTGATCTTCAACCGGTTGAAGATTAGATCCATGTGCTCTGTCCATACTGCGTAGATGAGGCGATGCAAATGGATCCATTTCATCTTCCTCAGGGAAAAGAGGAATTGAAGAATATTGACCCTTGCCTTTAATTGTTGGTTGGTGAGAGAATGATGGAAATGCGGGAGTCAAGACTTCTGGAGAAGGAGTTCGAGTAGGATAATTGAAAGGTCGGTTTGGTTGTGGATGTCTAACACGAGAAAAAGTCTCATCAGAATCATCAGAAGTACCAGATGATCGTTCGTTATCAGCAGCGGCGGCAGCATCGGAGAGTGAGAGCGAAATCGATGCATCTGATCGCCGACCTCCACGAGGTTTATGAGTATAAACTCTACCAGTTTCTGAATTTCCTACTAGATGACCAAGTGTCTCTTCATCATATTGATGTTCTCCGACTGTTCCAAAACGTAATTGCGACGACTTTGTTGGCTTGTAGGTTGCTCGTTGACGAGATGAGCTACGAGGATCGGTGATAAGAGTATCATCATCGCTAATACTTCTGTGGCTTGAGAGTAGTGCAGATTCGCTATATCGGAAGTTTGGCTGACCAGCTTTGGGAGGTGTTGGATGATTATGACTATCGGGAGATGCGTGTGCATTGGAGTTTGAATCTGGAGAAGAAGGTTCAAAAGATGAATGGCGCTGGAGTTTGATGCTAGGCACAGGAGTATTGGTTCCAGATATCCATATTCCATCCACTTGAATACCGCTTTGAATGGCACGAACTCCGAAGGGGATATCGGCGCCTTTCATGGGTTCGACAAATTGTCCACTTTGTCGTAACTCTTGAATCTTCATGCGCTTCTCTTCATCAATAATTTCCTGTCTAGCCACTATTCTGTTTGTCCATAGTAACTTGATATATCCCGCGCAAAAAACTGCCACAATAGCACATCCCAAAACCTGATACATATTAGTGGACTAATTGCAGACAAAGGAGAAGTAGGAAACTTACAAATGTCATCTTTTCCCACAATTGCCAGGAAACGAAGAATGATATTGCCATATTGAATATGAATTCCCAAGTCTTTTCGAATTCTGCAAAGTAATCTCAAAGAGTGTTTTGAAATCGTTTTGTCCAATTAGATATAAAGCAAATGCTTCCTAAAATTAGGAAGCTTCTACAGACTCTGAAAAGTCTGTGTGGAAGGTAGATATCGCAGTATGAGTCGAAGGAAATGAAAGACGCGGCAGAGAAATTTTTTTATGTCCGTGAATTTGCTGTCGCCAGATTTGGAAGTCACTCTCTCATAAAGTGTTTTCTGATTAGGCAAGAATAAATCCCATCCAAAAAGAAACGTGCTCAGTCGTTGACCTTTTGAAATAATATATTCCCAGCAAGAGTGACAAGAGGTACTCTCAAATTGGTTGTCGCATCAAGCTTCTTGTGATTATTGAAAGTTATACCTTCGCTCTCGCTGCTACGCGTCTCCAGGGCTCTTCAAGTTCCTAATGTTTGATGTGGTAGCGAACGTAGGATGGCCGATGTTACTAAATGAAGAGGCTTGGAAGATTCGCGACCGATAAGATAAATGTTTGGTGGAAGAGAAGGAATATATTATTCAGAATCAGGTGCGTGTCCAACGTTGATCAAAGTAAATATTTTTGCATGTGGTTGATGTTGTGGTTGTTACTCCAAAAAAAGAAAGGTAATCGCTTTGGGAAGGTCGGTTGAGAAAGTGAATGTTCTCTGCTCTTTCACTTGGGAGAAGAACACCAGGAAAGCTTTTGACATATAATTTCCTTGTGTGCTGGCTCTTCGGAAACCTGCAGATTATACCACACTTTTGGACTTCGAATGAACGTGGTATTTCCAATCTAAATATTCGGAAATTTGCGGTACTACAATCATGCATGCGTACCTTAACACCTCTTTGAAATGGTAGGAATTATTCCGAAGGACCCTCGAAAGCAGTACAACTCCAAATACTGGAAAGCAACGCAAGTATGTATTTTCAACTAATATCCACGAAGACGAATGATAAGAGAGAAAACCCTTGGTTCCGTTCTCAGGGATGGATCAGAAGACTTTTTCTAACATTTGGAGACAAGTCTCTCACAATTGGGAGGAGGATGGAACTTGATATACAGATACGAGGTTCGATGGAACGCATACATGAATACCATCACATTTGAGTTTCTCGAAACCTTGTCTGTGCCTGCAGGTCTCAGTATCTGGGAGCATCTCTAACAAAAAAGAAAATTTATTTTTAGGAGGATATGCATATTGAAAACGCGCATAAGACCGACGAGATCGGGTTGGCTGAGATATCCGTTTGCTTCTTTCTACTAGATGCATATCATGCAAGTAGACCTGAAGTTCATCAATCAGAAGTCGCCGTTGAAAGAATTTGCCCATTAGGCTATTCTAGATAAAAGTTTTGACCAGCTTTTCCTTCTATAGTCAAGTGACACAGGTAACACAATAGGAGTGGTGCCATGATCTATTGGATATATCTCCATGTTGGGAATTGTCACACAATTCGGAGGCCGGGCAGAATGGAGAGAAGTTGGAAGGCCGATGAGCTTAAAATACAAGCTTTTCTCTTTCGACTTTAGATGTTCGTGCCCGTATTTCAACCTCCATTTCGTTCACTGCTTGTCATGTTGAGAACATGTCAAACGTTTGCCAAGTATTCTTGAGAGATCAATTAATGGGAGTTCGTGCCATCGCGGGAGAAAGGAAAGATTTTTGACAAAATGAAAAAGATCGGAAGGATGATTCCTTGGTGTTAGTGGGAGCTTCGAGAAGTATTCGAAATTATGGACCCTTGATCTGACTACCGCAGCAGATCAATGTTTCCAGACTACCATAAAAGATCAAGAATGGAAGAAAATCCGAAGAGTTACAACACTCAAGGTTTGGTGCTGGAAGGGAAGTCTATGAATTCGTTCAGCTCCTACGCTTCCTTGGCCATACGTGTTACATGTTCGAAAGAGTTGCTCGAGAGAATATGCTGTCAACTACTCAGCTATCAAAAACGTTCCGACTACTGCATGGATCGGGAGGAGAAGCAAGGTAGGAATCACGATTATAACTGCTGTTCATCTGAATTTGGGATGTCGCTTCAGCTGCTGAGGATATGGGAATCGCAGCAAAAAGTGCGACTCATGTCATACATTGTCTATTCGCATCGACTTTTCTAAATCCCTTTGGAATTATCGTTGGTGGCAGCTAGCGATACGTCATACAATTCTAGAGCTCATCCCGAAGGATTGGTTAGGGCCCGAGTAGATACATTTATTCGCCTTATTGTCAATGTCTTGCCGTCGTAAGTATTGTGATAAACCTTAAATAATTCCAACTTTCCACATCCATCTACAATGGAACCCAACTCTCTTCACCAAAATCTTTGATATTCGTACACGGTAGGGGATTATTGCAAATTATCGATAATGCCTTGGAATGATCGACCTCGGTTCGGCCAACGAGAGATCAATACAAACAATGGAGACCGACCCTCTCTCGTGATCAGCCCAGAAAACGGAGCACTGAGCGTCCGAGTGGCTTAGGGAAAAATCGTTTCCAGATAAACAACCAATCAGCCAATTCTTGCAACGAAGACGTCAATGCTAAACTCTCGAGTCTTTAAAGTTCAGTCCTCGAATGGTTCAAATTTCCCAGCCCACTTTGTTTCCAAGTTTGAGTTCCAAAGACAATTGATTTATATCTCGTAATTGCTCAATTCTGTTGTACATTATACAAGACCTAAAAATGCCGATTATTCGAAATCCATTCACAAGGAAACAGGATGCTGGGCTGCAGCCATCTCAAGACCAAAATGTATCTCCCCGCCCTTCCTTCGAACGAGTTTCTACACAAGCCTCTCGAGCATCTTCGATGAGTATCAAAACGGCGAAGAGCGAAGAACCTCCGGAGTATAAAATGAGTGGTATGATGCCTTTGTTTAGATGCAGCCAGGGTCGCCCGGAAGCAATGGGAAAACTTAGCTAACGAGAGAATTGTATAGTTGTAAACGATAGTGGCGTGTATCTACCTGTCAGTATGGGCAAACCCACGACATGTCAATATAACTAACTAGTCCCAAAGCCGTCCCCGCCGGAAAAGAAAAGTTTCTGGCCTCGCAGCAAGAGCAATCTTTCTGCAACCTCAATCAACACCCGAACGACCTCAAATGATGCGATTGATCCTTTCCCAATTTCAAGAGAGTCGTTTGATTCGTACAGAAGATCATTTGTAAGTTTAGACTTCCCAAAATCGTGATGCAAGTAGGTCTCTGATCTTTGCAAGGATATCTCAGCTAGATCGCCCATAAGCCCCATCGATGGACACGGTGGACGACAAAGTCTTGATTCAGCAAGACTACCTCGAATGCAGCGGTCCGCTATTGGTGATAGACGATTCGACAGACAGCCACCAACGGCCGAAGAAGGATTCGAAGATGTAGGGCTGAATGATGGCGCCAATGACCCCGCCAAACAGATCAAAAAGAAGGGATTCTTTTCGAAATTTGGCGATGAAGCACTCCCATCATTTCATATGCCAGGTAGAAAGCGTGGCCAAAGTGGTACAGGAGAAGAGCTTGGGAATATCCCCAAACCAAGCAACACGACTCCAAAGGTCGAGATAGATGAGGCTCGCTAGGGCGTAATGATGAGTTTGAATCTTCTGGAAAGGAGAAATTAATAGGCATTTGGATTGAATTTTTGTATATACTGCACTAGTATACCTACAATCGCTTGGGAACTGGTCTTAGAAGTATTGCGGCGAGGGCCGTACATCAATTCCAGATGCTACAAAGCTGCTGGTATAATGATAATGTAAAACTTTAATAACACACGGCTTGTTCTGTGACGTCTAACGAGTATAGGTGATAATCGAAGCTAGAGGTATGGCCATCACTAGTAGTGTGGTGGTATGGCAAGCCTGCTTAGGATATATCGGTTCCTACACTAGGTACTCACAGAATCATGTGAAACAATCTTTCTACATCGTCTCATGTTTTCTCAACTATAAACAGAGAGATTCTGGATTGTGGTAATGGATCAAGCACAAGTTTGAAATCCAACCGTATGGAATTACAATCTTCAGGTTGTCTAGAATGTCGAAAATGCAAGACCTACCGGGTGCCTATGATGGAATTTGGCGGGGCAGATTCGAGGATTAGCGTTATCGACTAGCTTATCGTCAGAAAAAAAGTTGTTTTCTGCCCATTCCCCAGAAACTTTTTTTCAGCGTCGAGCATTCACCCCTCTAACCATCGATCCTTTTTCTACCGTCGTAAAACTTTTCAGATGGCGAAGACTAAGCCAGGAAACAAGAAAAATAACAAAAGCGAAAAAGCAGCCCTCAATCGCACTTCCGCAAAATCTACAAAAGCTTCTTCACCGCCCGCGACACCAATGGATTTAATACTAAAAGCAACGAATCGTCTACAAGAAGGCGACATTGAAGGTGCTGTGCCTTTTGCGAAGAAAGCTTTGGAATTGGTGGATGTTCAAGCAATTGAAGCACTGCCCGTCTTGAATCTGTTAGGAGAAATTCACGTAGAATTGGGAGATGTCGATTCGGCGAGACAATATTTTATGCAAGCAGCTGGAATCGATGAGGATGGAGAGGTGAGCGAGGAAGTTGGAGGTGGAGCCGAGAAGTTTTTATGGTTGGCACAGTTGAGTGAGGAGGGTGGAGAGGATAGTGTTGGATGGTATGAAAAGGGAGCCATTAGTTTGAAGGCACAGATTGGAGCTTTATTGGAGAAGGCAGAAAAGAATAAGTTGGATGAGGCGGGGCTCGCTACTCTGGAGGAGAAGAGGAGGAAGTTGGCTGTGGCACTCTGCGGTGTCGTCGAAGTTTATATGACGGATTTATCGTGGGAAGAGGATGCGGAACAGAAATGCGAGGCATTGGTCACAGAGGCTACTATGGTCGCACCAAATTATCCTGAACCATGGCAGACATTGGCAAACGTCAGGATATCACAAACGAGAATGGAAGATGCGCAAGCAGCATTGAGGAGAAGCTTAGATTTGTGGAAAGATTTACCTCCCGAGAGCGATGTCGTCCCGGATTTCCCCACGAAAGTCAGTCTAGCGAGATTGTTGATGGAGGCGGACATGGATACAGAGGCCATTGAAGTACTAGAACGCTTGGTTGGGGAAGATGATACTAGTGTTGAAGTTTGGTACTTGGGTGGTTGGGGATTGTACATTATGGGAGAGAAACAAAAGAACGGAGAGAACAAACAACAAGAGAGTAACGGTGATGGAGAGAGTTGGAGGGTCTCTTGGATTTCAAGTCAACAGTGGTTAAACCATTGTCTTCGGCTCTTCGAGCAACAAGATTATGAAGATGAGCGCCTTGGTGCTCACGCTAAGGAGCTCATCTCGATTTTGAACGCTGAATTGGGAGAGGAGGTCACGAACGCCAAGGTCGAACTTGGAGACGATGGAGAGGGCTGGGAGGAGGATAGTGATGATGACGAAGAAATGGCCGAATCGTAAAATAGATTTTCTGGGTACAAGGGTCGAAAAGTGTTTGATTCCAAAGGAATGTGGAAGTATATCACGGCGTTTGTACAGGGCGAGCGCAACGAAAAAGCTATTATGTGATGACTGATAGATAATGAAAAGACTTATGGCAATGACCATTGCGTATCCAATACGAGCGGCGATTTTGGACATGCTTTAATCCTCCTCTCACTTCATTCCGTGTTATGTCTACTTTTATGGGCAAAATATCTTTGTAGACTGCCCCAAACCAACGCCAGCAATGCAACTCCATACCTGGGAATAATATGTAACCATATAATCATGCTTCAACCTTCAGCTTATCCACACCCTCAATAGGTACATCATCATAGTCCTCATCCTCCTCAACCTTCCCAGCCATACCTCTCTCCCAAAGTTGTCTTCCAGTAAGCGCAATGACAGCATCCTTGCCCTTATTCTTCTTTTTCTCTGCCGCTTCTTCCTCTGCTTCCTCCTTGACCTTGATTTCTTCCATCTCCTTCTGGAACCCTTCTCTCCACTTCATAAATGACTCTCTCGTAACCGGCTCTCCATGAAACTTCTTATTCTCCTCGGCTTCTACCGCCAACAATTTCTGCTCGTGTTCTCTTTCCTTTGCTTCCTGTCTTTGCGCAATAAGTTGCTCTGCGTTTTCTTTCAAAGTAGAGACTAATGTGAAAATCATAGCCATCCCCATATTCTCCTCAATTGTCTCGGCCAGTCCATCAAGGAGGATTTGTTTATCATTTGCGACACTGAAAAATGGATGAATAGGCGCATTAGGAGTTGGTAGTAAATCTAGAACAGGTGGTTCTTCGGGATACTCTTCTGGGTATTTGACTTGTAGAAGCATCGTTGGAGGTTCTGATTCGTCGCCATCTTGGTTTGTCACGTCGAGTAGAATCGAAACTCGATATTCCGTCTCTGATATATCTGTGAAGAGTGTTAGGAGGGTTTGCTGCGGGGAGGACAAGAATCTGGAACCCGGCGCTGCAAATTGTCGCCAGAACAAACGTACCATGAATTTCCTCTGGGAAAATACTGTCGAGAACCTCTCTCTCCTCAATTTGTTCTTCTCTTCCCATCTTGTGTAATTGCTTTACTATTTCCCTTTCAACAAAAGCCTTCGATATTTCGTGGGGTGGTGGGTTAAAGTTATGCTATCCAAGATTAGCTTAGCGCCGATATGAAAAAGTTTATCTTTTATCAGACAAAAAAAAGTTCCCCAAGTAAACCACGAGGCAGCCCATCCGTGGAAATCAAATCAACAATTGTACCAAAATGGCTCCAGTAACAACATCGAAGACAATGGTGACAGGTATGAAGAGAAAGTCGGCACCTGCGAAAGACGTTCATGTAAAGGAAAATAAAAAAGCGAAAATTGATTCGGGGAAAAAGGGAAAGGACTCAAAATCTAAGGCTAAGCCTGTGAAGAAGGTTGAATCTGAGAGTGAAGAGGATTCGGACTCTGATGATGGAGGAGCTGCTTTGGACTCTGCTTCTGCAGATAGCGAGGATGGAGATACGGAGATGAAAGACATTGAAGGCTTACATCCAGACAGAGTTAAGGCTGTTGCCGCAAGCAGTGAGCTCCCTCTTAGCATCATGTTAAAGGGTTTTCATACTTACACATTACAGGTCAATCATCGAAAGAGGCACATGCGAAACAAAAGCAATTGGCAAATGAGAGAAAGGCCGCAAAACCATTAGCAGATCAATTGGCACGCACGAAGAAGATTTGGGAACGTTTACGCCGAAAGTCGCATGTCCCAAAGGAGGAGAGAAAACAATTAGTCGAGGAACTTTTCGAGCTCATCACTGGCAGGATCAAGGACTTTGTTCTTAAGCATGACAGTGTAAGAGTTGTCCAAACCGCAATCAAATATTCAAACCCTGAGCAAAAACGATTGATCGCAAAGGAGCTTGCGGGAACATATCGTCAATTAGCCGAGAGTAGATACGCCAAGTTCTTGATCGGAAAACTGTTGGTCCAGGGAGATGATGAAATTAGAGACCTTATTGTTCCTGAGTTTTACGGACACGTTCGTCGACTTATCAAGCACCCTGAAGCTGGATGGATTCTCGATGATATCTACCGTGGAGTCGCTACCAAGCAACAGAGAGCTATTATTCTTCGAGAATGGTATGGTGCTGAATTCGCCGTTATGGAGAGAGACACCTCTACATTCTTGACTGGGGAGCTCTCAGAGATTTTGGCTGCTGAGCCTGGAAAGCGAGCACCTATCATGCGATATCTACAAGAAATGATCAATCATCTCTTACAGAAGAAGACCAACGGTTTCACTCTCCTTCACGATGCTATGTTGCAATACTTCCTCAATGCTAAGCCAGGTACTGAGGAAATCACCGACTTTATTGAGTTATTGAAGGGAGACGAGGAAGGCGATTTGATGAAGAATTTGGCATTCACTAAGTCTGGAGCAAGAGTCGTTTGTCTTGCTTTGGCATATGGAGGTGCCAAGGACCGTAAACATATCCTCAAGATGTACAAGGATACATTACAACTGATGGCAGGAGATCCAAATGGCCACATTGTCATTCTCACCGCATATGAAGTCATTGATGATACCGTCTTGACTGCGAAGTCTATTTTCCCAGAATTGCTTAGCAAGGATGAAGAGAAGCAAGTCGAGAACATTGCATTCTCCGCCAACGATCTGAACGCCCGTACAACACTTCTTTACCTTTTCCAAGGTCGCTCAAAATCCCTATTTCCAGCAAGCCATAACTCCGATCTCGAAATTCTCGCTGAAGTTGACACAATCAAAACTACTACCTCCAAAAAAGACCCGGAAATACGTCGTCAAGAATTAGTCAAGTCTCTCTCCCCCTACCTCCTCAAGGCTATCGCCTCAGCAGCTAGAGAACTCATCGCCACATCTTTCGGTTGTCAATTCGTAACTGAGGTTCTCTTCGGCGCCGAAGGAGATAAATCAGCAGCTCTTGAAGCACTCGCCGAAGCTGTATCCGGAGACCCAACATATATTCAACCTCCTGTCGAGGAAGGCGCAATGAGTACAGAACCTCCTTCCCATATTGCAAGCACACCATTCGGTGGAAAAATGATTAAAGCTCTTATTGCAGGCGGTCGTTATGACCCAGCTACTAAGTCTGTTGTGCCAATCGTACCAGCATTGAACTTTGCGGATATCTTGTATCCCCATATTAAGGAGTTTATTGTCGAATGGGCGACTGGATCTAGTTCTTTCGTGGTAGTTGCATTATTAGAATCCGAATCTTTTGGAAAGAAAGATGAAGTTAAGAAAGTTTTGATTAAGAACAAGAAGAAGTTGGAGAAAGCGGCAAAAGAAGAGACGGCGGAACAGAAGAGCAAGAGAGAAGAGATCGAGGCAAAGGAGAAGGACAAGAAGGCCAGTGGAAAGGGTGCTGCAAAGAAGGCAAAGGGCGGAAAGGAAAAGATGGTGGGTAATATGGGCTCGAGTTTGATCTTGAGCATGATCTGAGCATGTTACATGGATATATGTGGATTAAATAGGGGAAGGGAATTAAGATTTGAAGACAGATAGGGGCATCGCTGTATAGAACGAGTGCATTGTAGGAGTCTCGGCGTTGTTTTAAAAAGTGATCCATAGTCTATAGATACCTGGATGCTTTACCTTAGTATCCAATGTACTCAATGTAATGTTGCATAACAAAACACGTTCTCTTTGATTGTTGAGTTTGAGTCAAGTAGTGAGGTGAGAGTTGATAGAACATAAAAATCAATTTCGAGCTCCGTCCGGGGATTTCTTGAGCACCAGTACAAATGATGTTGAATGGGAGATGTAAAAGGAAGAGCATTCAAAGCGTGGTTTTTGTACAAGAATAGCAAGGGTCTTACATGCACTTTTAGTTGTCAAATAATCGTTCATTTAAGTTACGAGGGGATAATAAAGGATCAGAACTTTAAATTTAAGCTTTTTTGGGGAGGGTGGAAGGGGAGGGTGGAAGGGGAGGGGGGAAAGGGGGAGGGGAAACCATTTTTATGTGTAAACAGACTTTTGATTTACTCCATCTAATTCTATGTCTATTGAAAAATCCTCAAGGTATATCTAATACCTTGCAATACCCATCATGTACCCAAGTTAATTCCGTCTCGCATTGCATATCACTTCCCCATCTAATCTTATCGCCCACCATTGTACCCCCTCGCTTCTCACCCCTTAATCGCCAAAGACGCCTTCAAACTCCCCACGACCGCAAAACAAATCAACGGACTAACGGCATAAGCCACCGTTATAAACTTCGCAATCGCCATCTTCTCCTCCTCATCCGCACCACTTACATCCGCCAGCGCTGTGAGTTTCGTAGCCGGTGGTCCCGTCGGCATCAACATCAACACAAACCATAATATGGGATCGTTATCTAACCATCCTGTGTGGGAAGCAATGAGATAGATGAATCCGATGCTGATTATGGGCCATAAGATGAAGCGGATGAAGCAGATGGTGAGAACGACAACTGAGGGGACTTTTCCGCTAGATTCACCTTTCTTCATGCGTAAGAGGGAAGAGGAAAGTTTGGCGCCTACGACGACGAGTTGGAGGGCGGCGAATAGCTCGCCGATGTTTTTGAGGGAGGTGGTGAGCCAGGCTTTGAAGATACCGCCGGATGATGGGGAGGCGAAAAAGATGCGGTGGAGAGGGGGAGTGAGGCCTAGGAGAGCACCGAGGAGAGCGCCGAGGAGGGGGGCGTTGATAAAACTATAGAGAGTTGATATTACATTTCGAATCTTGAGAGGGATTTTCTTCCATTCTTTCTTTGATTTTTTGGCGGCAGTAGTTCTGCTTCGGGCAACGCTGCGTGGAAGAAGAGTGGATGTTTCGTTTGAGTATTCTTCTTCTTCTTCTGCGGTTCGTCCGGCGGAGTTGGTGGGATGCGCATATTCCTCGTCGCTTTCAGTGGGACTGTGTGTATCGCTTGGTTTTGAGTCTTCGTCGGGTTTGTCGGGGGCTTCTTCGTCATCTAGAAGTCGGGGACCAAGAGCGAAAGTAAGACTGTTTCCTACCATGGAAGAGACGAGGAAATAGGATTTTGCGCGGCTGAGGGCTGCGGAGGGGGTGTCAGATTCGGACATGGTTAGGTTGGTGAGGATACCGGCTGTGTCGAGGGCTTGAATTAAGAGGAGGGGGAGCGCGGTAGTGTTATTGAAACATACTGGTGAATAGTTAGTGGTTTGAAACATGGAGAGAAGCAAAGGAGAGGGAAGGGGAGCTTACTGGCTGGTACACACCAAGCGGGAAATTTAAAAGCTCTTTTAAGGAGCATTCCCAACGCCATTGATGATAAAGTGTATATTAGAGCCCATACTTCACAATCGTTAGCTTTGTATATACACAGACAATTGGGTAAAACTCACTTAACACTGGTACATATCTGTACGCAGTATCCGATTTCAATTCCTCTCCAACATTTGTGATTAAAAGCGCTGGTAGAAACAACCTAACAGCCGTTTTCGAAATATCTCTTGTGGAAGACTCCTTCAACAAATTGAATCTCGATGCAATAACTCCATAACTTATTGTTAAAAGAACTGTCAAGGAGGCTTGAAGGGCTCCTAGAAAGACAGGAAGAATTCCTTCGGTTGCAGAATCCGAATCTCCCATAGTTTTCCTGATGCTTTTGAATTGGGCGAGAAAGTCAGGAAAGAAAGTAGATATTGAGGGAATTGCCAAAATATGTAAGAAACATTCAACTTATCCTACAATATATTCGTACCTGTCGCTTCAATACGCGTTGCAAACCCACCGACGCGGCTCATACGTTTGTAAAATCTTGGTGCCAATGTTGTCTAATGTGCATAACGTCATATTGACAGGGGACACAAAGAACCGTCCGACCAACTAATTGGTAAGATTTGTGGAAAGGAGAAGTTCCAATTTATGCAGGTCCTTATCAATTGATGAAAAGAAATGGAAACAAGCTTTCTGATACAGATCTTGGTGGATTGACAGGACCTCGCAAACATACTAGTCATTTCGTCTCGTATCTCGTGTCGCGTGTAGAAACTAGACGATTAGGATAGCCTTGGTATATGTAAGATCAAACTTTTGTCTATTATCTAGAAGGACATCTAGGGATAACCATGTAGTCGATAATTATCCATCTTGCTAGGGATAATAGTCGTTCGTCGCCAAGGGCAAAGACATTAACCTGAGGAAAAAGAGAGTGGTGAGATCAGTAAAGTGGTCCGTGCATACATCTTCCACCATCGTTTGCTTCACGTCGCGTGTGCCTCTCTCGAACATACCGACTCCCTTAACTCCATGTATTCGAATAGATCACCAGATTGGTTACATTTAGATGGACATCTCTGCAAGAATGTTTGTGGTAAGCCTTCAAGCGAAGCTTTATCATGCATGATGTTTTTAAAAGTTCGGGTTCAACCACAAATGGACGAAGGTACACAAGGATATTTGATAGCTGATACCAGACCCCGATTTACATGAAGCCTCAAAGTAACGGATACCATTTTATCTTCAAGTTCATAAGGTCGGTAGGGTTCAATAGCAATCAATCAAAGGCAGGTGTGAAGTGAACAATGCGCTGTGGATAGGTTTCTTCGTCCATGATATACTATTCCCACTGTCATTCTTACTTTGTTTTTACAGCATCAAATTCAATCTTAACAAGATCTAGATCGATTTATCAATCGTAGAATATTTCCAACTCTCTGTATTGTTCGACACGCTGAGGCCGAACACAATATCAAGGTTTGTTTTGCTTCTTCGTACATACTTCACACATATGCTGATCCCCATCACAGCGCAGACTCCATATACCAGATCCAGTTTTAACCCCTAGAGGCCGTAGATAGAACTTACTTAATCCTCTCATCACCCCATCGCCGTGCCATTGAAATCACCCTTTCTGCATTTAGCAATACACTTGCTGGGCCTGATGTTCCTTTTCTTCTAGTACTTGATGCTAGGGAAGTTGACGTAAAACCTTGTGATATAGGGTTTTCACTGGATATGTTGAGGGATGTAAAAACTCTCAAACCGTTCAAGGGTGAGGGGCTAACCTTTGGCACGAAGAAGATAGGTTCCGATTTTAGGGAGGATGGATCGAACTTGAAGGTTTGTATAATGTCCTTGCTACGTGGGAAGACCAAAATCATAGGGGGATATCAGAAGAGTTTCTGAGCATCCAGAAAATTGTTCCTGTAACTTATAATGTGTTATCTTCCAGAAAGACCTCTATGTACTCAATCATGAAGCCATTGCAGCATGGGCTACTGCTCTTCGAGCATGGCTCTATATGATTGAAGCACAGCACACTGTTCTAGTGACAATTGGAGGTTTCCTTCATTACTTGACCGAGGACGGGACAATAAGTGATCCGAAAAAAGGTACTTTCCTAAATACATCCTACCCTCTCCTTGATCATTCGTCTAATAATAAAGATGTACTGGTTACAACAATTGTGAAGTCCGAAACTTCACGTTTACAAAAGACTCGACGGCAGAAAAGGCTAAGATTATTGAAGTAGGAAAGATGAAGCATGGTATGGAGACTGACAGCACTATTCTGGCGGAATTGGATGAGGTCAAATGATTCTTGGAGTGAAGATCAAAGGCGTTAATGCACGACTTCTTCGAGTAGAGTTGAGAGGTGAGGACGATGATGACTCAAAAGTTATTTTGATGGACAAGAGGGACGAGAGCTCGAGTATCTTGGACGAAGGGGTGATACAAAGATCATGCCAAGCAATTGTTAACCTAGCAAACAAAGGATATTCCCAGGGGTTACTTTCTCTGAGCTGTATGTATGCTGATACCATAAGAATAACTGTGGAGAAAAAGGGGACAGCATGCTTGGCTTTGAAGTTTTGGTTATCTTTTTCTAAGGGGAACGACTACAACACCAAGTAACTTGGATTGTACAAATTCTTTATATGCAAATTATTAAGGTCCTATGAAATTTTTTCATCTGGAGCACAAGTGGTGTCTCGAGATATAAATGCTCAAATCGCTGTTCTACCCGTGGTAAATTCTTCAATAAGACAATACACCACCGAAAAATGACCAACGCATTGTCACAAACGCATTCACAAGCGAACATCACCCCAGCCTCAATCTAGGTGTCTTTCGAGTCGTCAGAAGAGCCTCATGTTTTATCTGAGGGTTCTTCTATATATGACTCCCTACGGGATGGGACTGGGTTTGACGTTCTTGTTTATAGCTATGTCAAATTCAATCCTGGTCTTTAGGAATCAATCAAAAAAAAATTGTTTGGAAACTTTCAGATAATATATAAGAGGGTTTTATAGATCAGGAAGACACTCATCCTCAAGATTGCCCCAGCCTCGGATATATAGTTTCTGAAAACGAACAAAGCCTCAACTATTTCCATGTCAGTGGTAGAGTTCATCGTTCCTGAGTAATTTTCTGCCCGCATTACCATTTTGCAATTGGGGGATCAACGATCGGACAGTGACATACAAACTACATCTTGTCATGTAGATATGCTTTGGTTCATTAGGTTGGAGTTAAAGGGCATCGTGGTCTTGGAATTTTATTCTTTTAATATCCTGGGGGAGAGATGATGTGGTTTAAGCGGAGATTGGTGATGAATGGTAGTTTAGCAAGAAGACGAGTTGGCAATACGTTTATTTTTGGAAATCAAAACTAGATTTTGTTTTGGTTATATGGATAGAGTCTAATGCTTCCCTTACTACTAATTATTTGGCTGGAGTGAAGTAGGAATTTTCGAGCACTTAGGAAAGACAATTAGAAGTCATTTTGGGTGGTAGGGCGGACACACTCGTTCCTTCCCTTTTGATATCGCAGTTGGTACGTGATAATAACAACGTAGGCAGGAGCTGTCACTCAGAAACAAGAGATCTATGCGATCCTTCCAATTTATGCTGAGGTAAATTTTTATCGCGCTTACAATCATCCTAGTTTCATCTCCTGGTCTCATTCATCCTCTGTTTCGCACAAAAAAACAAGCCTCCCCGCTCACATTCATCTTTGAGCTTCAACTCTCACATCTTAGGTCTTTAATTGTACAGAAAACGAAAGTCTTCTATCTATCAACTCGATTCATTGTCTGCCAACATCCTCGAGTACACAGATGAGAGCATATCTCAAATTATCCAGCACTTTAAACTCGAACCTCTAATTTTCTGTGATCTGCTACCGACGCAATGAACGCTCAGCAGGAGCTCGAAACAGCTGGAATTATCGGTGCCACTATAGTACCCGGAAATCCTGTGACTGTGATCCATCAACAACATGTATCGGTATGCTTCCTGTTGGAGTTCTTACCTGCCTTCGTTCTTGGTAGCGAATATAGCTGATGGATTCCTGCAGCCCGCACTTTTCAATCGCATCAAAAATCTCGAATTATCTAACAAAGCACTGAAGAATAGGGTTTTGGCCCATGAGAGTACCATTGCAAGTTTGGATCACAACTTGAAAGCACAAGCTTGGCGTGTTCATGCTTTAGAGCTCAATCAGCAAAATCAAAATGCGGTCATTCAAAGCTATGATATGGCTCAAAAATCGTGCGATATGCAAATCGCGACGTTGAAGTCGTACGAAAGCTGGTATGATACGCAATTCAAGACACAGCATATCCTAAGAAGCACACAAGATGAGAAGATCCAGTTACTAGAAGACAGGCTCAAGATGTATGAAGATGGCTTCATGAACAAAACCAGCACATGTATTCAATCTATCGGGTTAGATTTGAAGTCTCAAAAATTGAAAATTGAAAATCAAGAGCGCAAGTTGGACGAGAAGTTAGCTCGTTATGAATTCGTTTTGATGGAAAATCAGAAGCGTGAATTGAGCGAGAAGTTTGCGTCGTACGAGGCAGTATTGATTCAGAAAGTCAAGAAGAGTATTCTGGCGAACTTAATCGGCTCAGAAACTGAAACTAGTGATGACATTGGCGTCAAGAATGAGCCTCGAACCGTATGTTCTTCCCAATATCTATGGATTCGATGCCCCAAACTCAATTAAAGTTGCGCACTTCATACTCAACACTAGTCTGATCACATACTGATTTTCGGATGTCTCGATAGAAAATGTAACCTCGAATGGACTAGATACGACAAATGAGCGCCTGAATTCGAATGTCCTGGTTTTGATGCAGCAAAGAACACGAATGCCGTGCATCACATTACTGGACCAGGGTCAGAAATAAGGTACGCCACATCTATCTATTTGCTGTCTGAAAAGGGTACAAAGTGCTGAGTGCTCTCAAATTCTAGTTGTGCTAACGTCTTGTCTCTTTATAGAAAGGTAGTTGACTATAATGGAGCTATATATCCTAATTTGCTCTTGGCTTTGGAGTCTAGATGGAAGCATTTGGTAGTAGGCAGTATAATATGTTGTGAGAAGATTCGCAAAGATACGGAAGAATAGGAGACTCAAGATGTATAAAAGGCCTCAAAGTTCGCTTTGTGCTTTGATGTTCTTCGTGAATATCATTGTCATATTAACATTGCTATATTAATAATTACTCCAAGAAATGATATTTGTTTTACCGCTTATATGAATGAACAATACTCTTGACTCAATAAGTATCTATTCACTTCACTTTCTCACCACATTGAAGCTAATTCGGAAATCCTTCGAATTTAAAATACACATAAACCACCCAAGGAATTATTCCACGACCCAAACCAGTCTCAATTCTACGGATCAGCAAAGATGTCCAAATCGCTAGAGCTCGAAAATGGCTTCGTAAGTTTTAATCTTGTTTCTTTCCCGATTGCTTGAAATTTCACTGATAATTTCAATGAAGAAAAAATCTTGCGCGGACTTCGATCAGAACGCTCTTGAATTGAACAAACAAATACGAGCAACACAGAAAGAGATTCAGCAGCATAAGGAAAAGAATGACGGGCACATTTCAGAGTTGCAGGGGATTCAAGAGAGGCTGAAGAATATTACAAAGAAGTTACAGGAGACGGGTGCTGAGCACAAAGATTGTTGTGGATTGGTTGGGTTTGGTGGTGGAGATGAAGATAGAGATAGAGATGGAAATGGAAATGGAAATGGAAATGTAAATGGAGATAGGATCAAGAATGGGAAGGTGGAAGGGTCTTGATCTATGTGAGTACTAGATAGACGCCTTGATTTTCGACCGGCGAGCTTCTGGTTGCTTCCACTCATTACTGGATGCTGGGTGTAAAGAGAATTACTGATACTTCTGTCTCCAAGTCAAGGAGTATAGTATCGCTGGGTCACAGAATAGATTGGGTATGATACAAGGACTGGATACCGGATTGGGGCAGGATACAGAGGGCAGACCTACGTTTTTGATGTGGTTTTATGGGAGATCTGGGGGAAAGAACTTCTAGGATTCAAGACCCCCGTGAAAAGTATAGAAAAGGTTATCATTCACCATACTCATGCTAGAATTCCAGAGGGAAGCAGAATCACAAGGAGGTTGAATGCAGCGCTGATAGAGCTTTATGGGGCATGATTCAGATACAGGAATGTGAAGTGGCATTAAGTGGCATTTTGTTGCATGACTCCAGTGGGTATTCAATGCTATCTCAAATGTTTCTGTTTTCTGATAACAAATAGTGAATCATAAATCATCTCACCAAGAAAAAAAACACTGCCACAATGATTGGGTCTGATCTTTGGCAGTAAATGTATCTCAATCCGCTTCCCTGCCATGGAGAGATTATTTATCACAGATCCATAAACACATAAACCCCTCTCAAGCTCCAGTCTCGAAGCTATTGAAAACTTCATCAATCCTCTGCACAACAAACTCCGATTTTTTACCAAGCATCAAAGATGCCTGCACCATTCCTTCAAAAAGCGGTACGTAAAAACATGAACCATTTAGTTTCCTCTATACTAATAAGATGCCAATAGGAAAATCAGCGCTCTAAATATGCAAAGATTCGCAACAAGCTCGCTGCACTTCTCGTTCGGTATCAAGAAGATGTACAAGAGCACAAACTGGATATCGAAACTCTTAAGTTGGAAAAATAGAAGCAGAGATGACGGGAACCTGCTGGCAACGACTTCGATATATCGCCATTTTGTACGCATGGAAGAAAATTCTCGGCTAGATGGAGAAGCAGGTAGAATAGCTTAAGGAGATGGATCGGAAATGTGTCGCTCTATTGGAGGAAGTGAAAAAGGCTCTTTTGCAGTATTCTGCTCTTGGTCCTGAGGAACAGCGGACTGGGGAGCCTTGATGATATGTACTGAGTAGTGTGTCAGTATCAATCTGATGTGCGCATCTTGCATAGATCTTAAGGGTCATGGGCCACAACAATGATGATTGAGCTTGGGGGGAGTATTCTAAAGGGTCTTGAGCAAGGATTTGCTATATAATATTCAGTTTCCCTTCTGAAAAATGGCAATAAATACCAAGCACTTTCCTGTCCTTCGTTGATGTCAGTCCCTAGATTCGTGCATGGTTGCTCGTAACTTTGATCAAGTGAATCCTTTATTTAGCGAGCCATATTTTCTTCCAAGTCTCGAAGTTGCCCAGATACTTCACCTTCTCAGCTCAAGTCCAAGATCCTACCTTGGTCTTTACCAAACCTCTCAGATCAAGATTAAACTTCTCATTAACGCAACCCACCACTGCAACCTAAAATGCCTTCCAGAATCGAGGAAAACAAATACGAAATCATGGATGCAAGTTGCCTCACACTAGAAATTCCCCCCAGATCGATATCAAGCCATTCTAACCCTATATTTGGCAGATACTTATCAGAATCAACCATGCCGGAGACCAAATCAAAGAGAATACACTCCAAATCGAACAAATCATGGCCTCTGGTGTTGTCACTCATCAAGAAGACCAAACAATCAGAACTTGCAGAAAATTGATCGAATTTTCGAATGGTCAACTGGCTAGTTACAAGTATTACCTATCATGGTGCTTGTGTGCAGAGGGAATAAGTGATGAAGAGAGAATCGAGGCGGAAAGAAAGGCATACTTGCTTCATCAAGCTGCTTGGGCTTGCTTGGAAGGTAAGACATCTCATATTTTGTTTGAACTGCTCTGTCATAATTCTACGAGGAATGGGTATTTGCGAATATCACTAACATCTTCCTTCGATAGAACCCATCTAAACTCAGAACGAGGATAGTCAATTCGAGGCGTTCGTCGCGGGAAAGGATATACGGAAATTGGGATACAACATACGTTGAGCTTGCAGTTAACTGGCTCTGGGATGACGGATTTGATCATCGAAGAACTTCACGAGTATTCCGATTCTATGATAGGTGATAAATAATATACGTGAACAATCTTCTCTAAAAACAAATTCGTTTGGAAGGTGAACGCACATGACCTTGTCTGCTTTCTCCCGCACATAACGTGACGTCAAACTTCCTACTCATGGACGATGTTTATACCCCACAATCTCTCGAAAGCCATACAATCCCATCAAATTCTTATTATCCATATTCAACAGTAACTTAAACCTTTTTCAATCCAAAGTTTACGTACACTGTCTTCGATTCAATAGAACTCATTCCCATGCAACATGGCCGATCTCAGCACTACTACGCTAAATGATCGAGTTACGAGACTTGTAAGCTTCCGGCTTATCCTCCAATTCCTTCACATAACAACTTCACATAACAAATAACCTAACACACCTTTCTCAGAATCAAGCTGTTAGAGATCTCCAAGACTCATCAAGTGAAACGCCCGATGAATCGTTAATCGAACTCATGAGACAGATTGAAGAAATGGCGCGCGAGATTGTTCGAAGAGTTGCCCAAATAGAGAGAGAATTGGCTCTAATATCAGCAATCAGAGCTCTGGAGAACTTGCGCAATCTCGTCAGAGAAGCTAGGGAATGATAATGATATTATTGATTGGAAGAATGCGAATTGGCTTGAATGTCCCCACACCACGGTCGATCGTTACCCGCTCAATCACTTTTTAAAGCATTTGCTTCTCTTACGAGATCAGTCTTTCTTTCTTAGCATCTACATATCCGAATACGAATGCGAGTTTTTCTTCAGCCAGAAATTATAAGCAACCTTAAAACAACAAACCTCCAGCAAATTTCGACAATGGATTCTAACCTTCATGAGCAAGAACTTCAGCTAGCAGAATAAGTAAGTTTTAATTCCCGTTCTTTCAATTCTCATTCAGGACGAATGATTGACAAATGTCTACAGAACGAGGAATTTGAACAAGACGAGTAACAACTTCGAATATGGAGGGGAGAAACATTCCGTCGTTGGCGTCAAAGAAGGGTAGTTGCGAGAGCAAGTTTGGCTCTTGAGTATTTGCAAAGTGTTGTTGAGGAAGCAATCTTGCAATATGGTGGGATCTAGAGAAGTGCTGGAGAGAAGGCTGTAGATCTGCTGAGGCTGCGAAACAAGATATGGCTTGGGAGTATGAGCTAGGATCAAGATACTGGCACTGGATAGTTCTCATCATATGAAACAGTTTGCTTTTGACATGTCCTAATTTTTTGTGCGGAAAAGCCTTTTTTTTCTTTTTCTGAAAATGCAGTTGTGATGAACATGTGCGTAGATGGGACGGCAGATCGCAGGCATGTGGCAGAGGAGATGGGAATCGCGGGATGTGATTCGATATGGGTGGGAAAAAAGAAGACGAGTTTCTAGGAAGATCTTTCTTGTCACTTCGTAAAAGTTACAGGGGGCTTATGGGCTCCAACAGCCTGTAGCAGACATGCAACAAAAAACTGTCAAATTTCCTAGCACGTGACAGACTGGTTCAAGAAACTCATCTGGGTGAACATTTACTATTTTTCAAAGTAACAAGCATTCATAAATACCTCAGAGGTTTTCATTCTGTGTATGGAACGTGTTTGCATGATCGTTGGTTATAATCTTTGAAAAAACTAGAGCCGGTCTGGGTTGGATCAACACCAATCTTTACTTCCAGACGCGGGTAGATCGCTTAGAGTACGCTACTGGGCGTCAGACATCATCTTGAGGAAGTAGTTATAGATTTTCTGGTAGATTTTGAATCCGTAACAATTCCACTCTCTGATTATAAACCATAAAGTACTCGGTGGATTCTGAGTACAGGAAAAAGTAATGATGAATGAAGAAGAAGGGGACGAGAGAAAACGGAAGAAGAGTTGCTGATTTTCCATGCGGAAGATGTATGGTATATAAAGTTTCAACCAAATAACTAGGGCAAGGCGCTTGAGGTTATAGATAGCAGTTTCTGTCTATTTCACTTGCCATATAATGCACCTCTATCAAATAGTAGTACTTCATTTTAAACCATCATTGCCGAACAACAAGGCTGATTCTGCGCTTCATCGACTTCTCATTAGTATTAGTGCCTAGCCTTTAAACCGAACTTCGTGGTCCCTTTAGAGGAAAATCTACATCAGGAAAATCTCATCGTCTTCCTCAATTCTTAGGCTCGAAACGCCAAGAATTCGCTTATTTTAGGCTAGTTGGTAGGCGTAGATTAGGTTGAATAGCACTTCAACCTCGGAGTAGGTGTGATATTTGAGAAACTTGTAGGTTTGATCAGATACGAAGGGTGAGATAAAGTGGGCGTAGTGATGTGGGAGGCTCTAGGGAGTCTGATTGTTGGGAGGGATGCCGTCTAGTGGAAATATAGGTAGCGAGGAGACTTGAAGTATCACATTGTGCCCAGGTGTTGATAGATATATTTATTGTGTGGGCTTCTTACGGAGTTTTAGGATTAATGAAGAGGTTACAGTAATGCATTCATGAGAAATCACATACAAGTGTATTGATCTCACAATTGTCAATTGCTCGAGTGAATTCTTGTTTTTCATATGTTCTGGAGCTCACAACAAAAAGAGTTTCGTAAATGTTCTCACACAAAATATAGATCATGGAGCGATCATATGCCTTTTTCTATCATATTTTCTTGGATGTCCTCTCCTAATATAATACAAACATGAAATAAATCGATGATCAATGTTCTGAAGGACCAGCATGTATACGTTGGTAGCTCACCCTAACTCTCTCCCGATAATTCACTGCCCCTCGTACACCGGTGCACTCATGTGACAGAGATTATTCACTAGCCAATGAGGCGCTGACGGCTCTAATATCCTTATATTTGCTTCAATCTTTCTGATAATCAGAGATTGTCACATGCAACAACTAACTCGACAAACAACTCAAGTTCTTACACCCTCGACATACCAGATTGAGCCGGTCATTCAGCATCTGTCCTTCAATACCTCTCCGACTTCACAAAGACCCATGCAGACTTCAATTTACAGTCGCAAACCGCAAAATGGCATCATCTGAGGCATCAACGACCTCAATTATTGAATCACTCACTCTCGTAAGTAAATTCAGGCACTCCCCGTTGTTTTCCCTGTATAATCACCTGGATTCTAATTTATTGATCTCATTAGTACGAAGTAATTAAGTTCCTCCCAGTGGCAAAGAGAAAAACTCAGGAATACGTCGATACACTCGCAAAATCCACAGCAAGTGCTCTTCGTGAAGAAGAAGATGCTCGCTCTACAATCGCATTATATGAGTTCTTCTCTGCAGAACGCCAAAGACAACATAAAAACCTTTTAGACTCATTGGCGAGTCTACTCGATAGAATGATTGCTTGTCGGGAGAAGGGTGAAAAGGATATGCATAAGTTCATAGAGGAGTCTATTGACATGGAGAAGGCGTGTATGAAGCGGATTGAGAATTTGATGGCGAAGAAAAAGACTGCAAGGAATATTTGAGAGTACCTCTCGGGCACAAAAAAGTGAATATCCATCATTTTCTGCATGCAATTAACTTTCAAAAGTCAAAATAATCTTGAAAATCTTCAACGCATACTGTCTGTAGTGAATTCTTGACTTGTGACCTTCGCTAAATTATATTTTCCTCGGAATCTCTCTTTAAATACTTACATCAAGATCTTAATACCTCCACACAACTCGAATACTACACTCAAAATTCCATCTTTGAACTTCATTTCGCAAACATGGAAGAAATGGGCGCCGCCGAGCTGGTTGCAAACATCAGCAAACATGATCTCGTGAGTATACTGCAGGCGTTGGTCTCTCCAGCGAGCGCGTCTCCTCTTTGTTTACATAATACGGTACTAATGTGCGCTTGCAGGCCCAAACACTTTACATGATGCCAATTTTCCAAGCACAAAGCGATGCGGTCGCCATAGATCTCCAGAGAACCAGAGAATGCATTCGCGGTCTCGAAGAGCACACTCAAAACTCCATTGAACACTATCTACGAGCTTCTCACAAAAGAAGGCAGAGATTGGAGCCATGTATCCGTTTTGGGGTGAGAAACAACGAGCGAGCATTGATAGAGCTCAAGAAGCATCAAAAGGATCTTAAGGCTGAAGAAATACATTGTATTGCTGTTGATGAGATGATCAGAAAGCGTTGGAAGATTTTTCTGGAGGAAGAGGCGGCTGAAAAGAACGCGTGAGGGTATGTTTTGTGAAACCATTTTCATTCCGGTTATAAAATTATTTGTCTTCATTTCTTGCATCAGATACTAATTATTATTTATTCAAAACAGAACTAATAGATCCAAAGATATCAAGTGCGGGTTAGTGATTCGTTTTGCGGGTGGAGATCATGGTCAATTCACTGCGGAGGGGAGGTCAACGTTAATGACTGCACACAAGGCCTTCTTAAAATCAAAACCTAGACCAGACTTCTTTGAATACATACGGATACTCTTACAAATTTCATCTGAAATCTTGAAAGTGAAATAAAACCCCTCCCTCCATGCACATGTGGTTGTACCCACTTACTTAAAGTCACACTGTATCCATCTCCTTCTCAGGAAATTCCCAACTTTGAACTTCTCCAACTTCGAAGCAGACTACACCACCCGAAGTATTCAAGCTCTCTAAGGCAATTTACCTCAATACAAAATCTTAACTCGATATCATCTCCGAATTTCAATATGCCCCCAAAAAGAAATGCCTCCGAAATGATGGGGAGCTCGGGAAAGGCCAAGGATAGTCCCCTCAAGAGAGTGAGTAATCTAAATTCCGCGTTCTCTATCATTTATACGTATCCTTACTTCTATCTGCTTACCCTCTGTTTAGATGAAAGAGATGCTCAAAGATAATGCAGACAAAGTCACTTTCAGCAATGATGAGACTAGTCAGTTTGCTTACCTCATCATCAATAATACCACAGATATTATATCTCATAAACAGGATATCAAAAAATGGAAACAATGCATCAAGGATGCTCAGAAAGCTGTAGGAGAACTTGAGAAAACAAATAAAGAGTACGAAGAAGACATCGAGAAGAATCGACAGGAAATTGAGGAGTTGAAACGGGAAGAGGAAATGATTCTAGCAATTCAAAAGCAAGGAGAGGCTCGTGAAGAAAAGTTGCAGGGAATTATACAAAAGGACTTGAAGAAATTTCTGGAAGGGGAGTTGGAGAAGGCGGGTTTGTCGCTAGAGAAGGAGAGCGAGGGAGATCAGACTGAGAAGATTGAGGGTGATGAAGGCAAGAAGATGGTCAAAGATGAGATTTAGGGCTTTACCATGCAATGTAAGTTACAATTCCTCCATTTGCATGAAGGATCGGGTTTGCAGGACTAATTGTATTCTGCTTCTAGCTATCCAGATCTGAGGCGAAGACAGTCTGTAGGGAAACGGGATTCGGGATATGGGAAAAGTTTGCAGTTACGGCAATGATCTTTTCATATCACGAGAATTTATTCAATGATTAATACAAGCTCTTATTGTGATTCACTTCAACCTTCAAAAATGAAACTTGTGTTAGCGTCGTGCCTTTAATCAAGTCTGGAGAAATAATTTTGTTGGACAGCCATACTCTCCTCATCTTCACAAATAGTAAAAAGTCGAAGATCCTCAACTCCAAACCCAAAGTTTAGCAGTATGTCTACTATCAACTTGCCCTTGAAAAGAACCGCTCTCGAGATGGTCCGCGAGACTGAACTAGATGGCCCACTCCAGAAGGTCAGCAAATTCAATCTTTTTTCGTTGTCATAATCAAATAGTTTTGAAACAACAACTGACACTTTGTTACTTCTTAGGTCAGAGAAGCGCTCATAGGGTGTCAAAATTATATCAACAGCAGAACGCGAGGCTTGGAATACCTCGAACGGATTGTCATGGACATAAAATCTAAGATTGAAAGAGAAGAGGAGGAAATCCGACGAATCGAAGAGAAACTTGTTATCAGGCGAAAAGACTTACGGTGTGCTGAGCAAGCACTTGAAGAATACAGAGCGGAAACCAGTGGACTCAAAGAAAAGGAGAAATTACTTCTGGTGGCCCAAGGCCGGGGGGAGGAGTTTTTGAAAAGGCTTTTGAAGGCTGGAAAGGTGGAATTAGATGCGATGATTCAGAGGGGATTAGATGAGGCAGAATCTTCATCTAAGAAAAGGATAAAGGTGGAAAGCAAGGAGAATAAAGGCGATGTCTGATGGTGTAAGTCATAGATCCCCTTTCCGATGAATCATTTGTCTTTACTTCACGACTTGATGCTAACACTACCTCCTCAAGAGCTCTTCCAACAAGCAGTAGAGCCAGAAGTCATGCGTGGGAACTGGGGGTACGGGACATGGGAGAATGTTACATCTATCAGCTAGACTTGACTTGACTTCAGCGGAAATCAACACTTCAAATTTAGAAAGTGAACTTTACTGTCCAGGTCCTCTTTGATCTTTCGTGATATTTACTAGAGTCCTAAACCCCATTCTATCTTCCTTGATCTCCCTCAGAGCCTTGCGATCTCCCTTCTTCTTAAATACCCTCAACTTCCAAATAAAACTCAACATCTTTCAACTAGCAAATATGCCACCGAAAAGAAGCGCTTCCGAGATGAGTGGAAACTTTGGAAAGAAGAAAGATGGTGCTTCCAAAAAGGTAGGTTATCCAAGATTCAAACCCCCTTTCTCGATACGATGCCAAATTCTTTACCAACACGAAGACCAACTGATGAGCCCTTTTGTTCAGATCAAAGCATTAATCAAAGAAAATCAAAGCTCAATCCGCCACAATAAGGGAGAACTCTATTCATTCTCAATGATTCTCCAAGATAACAAAGAGGATATTCGAATTTATGAAGAACGCATCCGAAAGTTAAAACAAGAAAATGTTGACTACGAAGAAAAAATTCGAGATTATGAGGAATACAATACCGATTGCAAAGAAAAGGTGGCAAAGCTCGAGAAGATTCAAAAGCAAATTGATGAATTTGAGCAGGAGCTGAACGATAGATTGAGAACCGAAGTGGAGAAGGCGGGATTGCTTTCGGATTTGGAGGAAGTTGAGGAGGATGGAGAAACTGAGAATGATTGTGAACCAATTTGGTTTTGAACCGGATGTTTTACTTTGCAGCGTGAGTAATTGCTCTCAAGCTTCAATTTATGATTCTTTTGGTCACTCATACTCAGCCCTTACGAGCCAGTACTAATATTCCCGCGACATCAGGCTTCAGACATCAGAATCGAAGATAGCGCGCGCAAGCTGGATACAAAATTGATAACGATCATAAACAAGGAGATTGAACATACCAATGGTAGCAGGAACGAAACTTGATGAAATTTTATCTTGCAAATAATAACCACAAATGAAATTTATCTGCATAAAACATTCTCTTACTTCCCACATTGATGCATTGGCGGCAACTTCCTTCCCGTGCTATCATCATCCATTAGTATAGCGGCGTGGAGTTACTCTAATATATATTCCAAGTACGCGAAAAGCCTTCACAAAAGCGTTTCTAACGATGTGTTCTGCCAATGGTTCTCACTCTTCGGCCAGCGTCCATTAGTCTGAGCGCCTGACCCCATCATCAAGAGTCTCTTAATCAGGGGATGATGCGGTTGCAACCACCCGGGATTTTTTGTTTTTGTTTTCTAGGGAAGCTGATTCATCTTTTTGTGGTGATTGTAATTTTTTTTTGAATGAGCGGGTGGAGTCTGGTGGTGATTGGTTTAGGAGTATATCTTCACTTCGTACATACTTCATTCACTGCCCTCGCTTAGACGATATTTTACAAAATGTGGGTCAATAGCTGGGAACAAGATTGGGAAGTCATTCATTGCGTTGTCCATTTTCGATGACCAGACCCAAGAAGTATTCAGATAAGAAAACCTTTGAATAAGGAATAATCACTTCCAATATACAACTCACATCTCCAACATGGGAACATTCACCTACCCTGACTTCAATATTTCCTTCCTTACCTTCTATCCTTCTTAAATTCTTCCTCGACCTTCATCCCATGCGCCTTCAACATCAAAAGCTTGTCTGATCTCAAATACTTTAAGAATTCGAAACTAGTGCACCTCGAATTACAAGTTCAAACTCGAACTCCCAAGCTACAATCATGGAGTCCAACAACAACGAAGTGGCAGACAAACATGCCGGGCAGATGGTAAGCTCTACCCAATTATACAACCCACCCTTTGCGCTTTACACTTTTCTTCTTCATTACTTGTAACATGAGCCCGCAATTGACTAACATACTACCGTGCAGTCCGGCTCCCAAGTCCTCAAGGCCGTCACTCAACAGTCCACACAATCCACAAACATAATTGCACAAACTCAAGATGCCATTCGCGAACATCAAAAACAAATCGAAGACTTCCAGATAAAATTCAGAAACATTTACAACAAATTGCAGCTTACGAGAAGAATAGCAAGCCTTTCTAAAGGAACAAACACTCTTCGAGGTTGAAAAATTACACCGCGAGCTTTGTGATGTCGATAAGGGAATTGAAAGACGCGAAGTCGAGCAAAGAAAATACAATGATATGATGGCGAAACGGATATTGGTACGCGAAATCTCGTACAAAGGGGAGTTCTGAAATAAGCTGCACGGCATCGACCGATGAGTTTCTTGTGATTTTCTTGTTTCTCGTGCATGCAAAAACATTGGAATGTCTTTCCTAATCCATTAACAACCCCTATATCCTTTACACAGATGGCGAGAGCTGGGAATAAAGATCAATCTTTTGGTAGGATGCGAAGGAATACTAGAGATAGATATGACTTTCACAGCAGACCCTCTGCGACTGGATGTTTGGGAGTGGAGTGTTGGTTAGGCGGAAGGAATGGCGGACAAAATTCGACTATCCGAACGTTGGAGATCATCGCTCCTATATTTCATCCAGCCGAACATTATCAACTTCATTGCAGGTGATAGGGATAGGATGGATCTTACAATAGTGAACGACTGGGAAAGCGTTAGGCAGAAACTGGATACTGCTTTCATATTCGACATCTATGTTGTTGAATGGATGAAGTGATGTTAAGCCGTCACCAATGAAGGTTGTTCATAAAACGTTCGTAAATCTAGACATCAGCATCAAGACTTTCTTGTGTATGCATCCTGTCAACGCTTGCTAAGTTGATCTTGGATTTTCCTTGGAATACAATGGGGGATAAAAATTCCGATGTGGTGGCTAGCATGTAGAGAAAGGGTCTTGCACGTGATATATGCGTGCCTTTTCAAGTAAGCTGCATGCAAAAGTGCGACTAGCGTCGACGTCAAATGCTTCTCGACCAATCTTTGAAGCTAACTTCGTTAATTGCTCTAAAATAATATCTTTCCCACACGAATACAATGAATCAAATGAGAAGATTTAACTTATCAAGATATTTTTTTACCAGCATGACCATACAAACTTGTCATCTATGACGAACCTTTAACGCGGACGATATAACCCATTTCAATTGGAACCAACAAATCCTATTCAATGTCAAGATTTCTGTACCTGAGCAAGCGAAAGAAAGGAGAAATTGTCGATCTTTCGGACAAAGTTACCGTTTTGGAATGCTCAACTCGCTCCAATTGACCAATCGGGGGTATCGCTACGGCTCTTATATATTGGCTTGCATTGGAAATACCGGACCAAGACCTTTGCCACACGCCGACCAAAAAATGCAATTTGAGGACCTTTCCGATAATTCAACATGCTATTGCATGTTTGCCACATGGTTGGGTTTTAAATTCGGATCTTTCCTTGCTTGACAGCAGGCATGGTTTCCATTCTGACAAAACCGGTTGTCTATCTGCATACCAAAAATAGCCTTGATATAACATCATTGAAGCTCCGCCTAGCCAGGCCTTCAATACTTGTTATGGTATGATATGTTATGCCGATACAGGAAACTTGCTCATTATCATACGATTATATTGCAAGAGAGATCGAAATCAAGTCGTGAAGCATCATCATTCGCCAATCGCCCACGAGGCTATAGCTGTCTCGAAATTTGTCGTTTGGATGCACGTCGTATAACAATATAAAATTGGCCGATTGACACTTCAATCCCAACGATATATCACGATGATCGCGCCAAGCGTGGAGATATGGGGCTAGCCGATCCCTGAAGCTTACGGCTGTAGTATCATAAATTCTCCACAACGGCTACGTCCCGTCCTATTCGTAGGAGAAAAAACAGGCGGAATTTGACAATTCAATTTTTCATTGAAATCTTCTAACTTAATTGAATAAAAAATAATTTATAAATGATTTATATAAATTCAAAGAAATCAAAAGAAATATCAGCTTTTTATTGTTCAGAAAATATTTCGAAATTTTATTTTTTATAATATTGAAGGGAAATAATTGAATTGTAAAGGATATCTTAGAAATAGTCGAATTCCGCCTGTTTTTTCTCCTACGAATAGCCGTCTTCGAGCTGAACGAACTCATGTGCACGGTGCACATTGTATTATCAAAAAAGAGAGTCTCAGAAAACAACATATCTAATGATACCTAGGTAGCTACAGATATGCTTGAAATGAATCAAAACTGTACCATCCGATTAATCATACTCCTTGGAAGAATCCATCCCGATTTGAAATACAAAAATTGATTGATTGATTAACAATCGAATTTTGAAAAGGAGTTTGATTTTTGTCTGCACATGATTTTATTCAGCCCGAGCCACATTAACCAATATATCATGCGCAAGTCGCTGATCTTTGGGTGCTGAAGCTATCCCATGGATCCTCGCTGCCCCCCTATCCTTGGAAAGCTGAATCCGGAATTCCGAAAAGTGGCTCATACTTGGTGATATTATATGTCAGGAACCGATGGTAGTCTATGGGATTGGTCTTCGGCAATCACTATCCAAGTTTATACTCAGCTTCACATAATCGGATTATCCAATGATCACCATGTTAGTTCCCTGGATGTTATTGCTTTTCTTATTCTTATCAATATCACTTCCAACGATAGGATAGAGCATGCTATATGTTATCGTCACCTTGTGCTAAATATCAAGAAAATTCATGAACTGACATCATGTATCTGACCTAAGGCATGGCTGAGCTACGTTGGCCACCAGGAGAGTAACAAGAACAGGCTCAGAGAATCTATAAAGTGCAAGAAGTTTCCTCTTCACAATCATCATCAGTTCATTCTCAGTATCATCATCACAATAAACTTTAAGAAAATAACTTTTGCTTTCACCAAATCAACCACACAAAATCCTTCATCAATATGTATTTCTCAAAAGTTAGCATCATAGTCAGCATGACTGCCCTATTCGCATCTGCTTTTGCAATGCCTGCAACCATTGTATCTCGACAAGATGCTATCTGCAGCAGCGGCGATCCTCAATGCTGCGACGCTGATGTCCTTGGTGTAGCTGATCTAGACTGCGAGGCTCGTATGTATTCTCCTCCCACAGTCGGAGCAAATTACTAACTCAATGCCAAACAGCACCGGATGCATACACAGATATAGCATCTTTCAACGAAGTCTGCGCCACTGTTGGAAAAATCAACATGTGCTGCGATATTCCTATCGTGAGTTGTATTGCTCTTCTGTCTGGGTGCGGATACTGATTACTCGAACAGTTGGGACAAGGTATTATTTGCACTTCTCCAGATAATTCATAGAGGATTCGCGAGACTCTATACTTGCGCTTAGCTCAGATGTCGAGAATCTTTGGGTTTGACAGATCAGAAAGACTCTTGACCCTGAGATAGACTTGCGGCTGAATTTTCATATATCGCAGTTTGGATGATGGAGTTGTGGAGATGGAATGTTGATTGTTTATTTGCATTTGGCTTCTTGATTTTGTTTCGACCCCTTTAGACACAATGTACAATTTGTTTCAATCACACGACTGAAGTCAGTATTGGATAGGAAGGAGTACCAGATTAGCAACTAGCAAATACAATTTGTTATTTTTCATACACAGAACGGGCATTCCAGACATTTCCAGCATTTAAAATCGAGATGTGACATTCATGAAGTGTCGTATGATCACTATATGTCAATGAAAGTGTGTACAGTAGTATAGCGGAGGACAGTCTAAAGTGCGGCTTAATACGATTTATATGATAATTTTTAATATGATTTTTGGCACATCAATTTAGAATCGAGAATGACTTAGTGTATTACGGTTTCGGGACGAGTGTATCTTGGCTTCTATCAATTCCCATCTTTCTTTACCTTCTTAGTGGATCAATTCCATCTTTCGTTCGCTTACTACCATCTTTCCTTTCAGGCGATCTAGCTGGTGATCTAGCAGGTCGTTTCGCCACTGATCTACTAGTATTGCTATCCGAGGTGCGAGACTTAGAAGTGGGCTCTTGTCGGCGGTCACTCTGATGAGGTTCTGTTCTGCTACGTGAAGATCTTGAAGCCTCATTGTGACTCTCTCCACCAGATGAAGGACTTGGTCGAAATGCAAGAGATGCAGTTCGTGATTCGGGCTCGTTGGATCTAGATGGAGAATGACGTCGCTGCTCGGATGCTGGTTTATTTACGGTTGTCCATCCTCCTGATGCATATCCTTCTGCAGGTTGCTTTGAGCGGGATGATTTGGGAGGTGGAGGAGTGACCTCATATAGGTCTCGGTTATCTTGGGAATCGGTTCGTTGTGATGTTTCTCGACTACTAGATGGCTTTGACCTACTACTTGATGTCTTATTCGTGTTTTTGCTTGTCTTAGTAGTAGAGTTTTTAGTGAATTTCAATGGACATTCTATATCTTCATGTCCCGTCGTATCCCACATATGTCGCCGTAGATCGTATATTTCAGCTGGTTCATTCGCACATCGTGGCATATGATACTTCATCAGGTCAGTGATTTCACCCGGGTTATGATCCGAAGTGTCACAAAGCCATTCGTGGAATTCCCAATCCTTTAAATCCATCAAGTATTTTCCCGGTGGTCCAGCTCTTAAGTCTATCTCTTTGCCACTTGGCTTTGATCCTCCATTTTTAAGTTCGCTGCCACGATCGTATACCTCCGTCAAAGTATCTGTAAAATCATGGCGTTTCAGGAACACTTCCCCGTCTACCCCTGTATCAATGTGAGATCTTTTTCCCTTACAATATGAGTAGTATGCTAGGGCAAAATCATCATTTGCGCTATCCCAAACAATTTCCTTCAGTCCATGGGCCCGTTCAAAAACTTTATTTTGCTTCTCCAGATTCAGATTTGCAGGATTTATCCGCACGTCAATATTTACCATAGCTTTACCAGAGCGTAGAGCATTGTACTTCTGTGAGAGCATGGTATGATTTAGCCCTAAGCCTTCGAAGCGATATTCAAGTACCATCTTCCAGTCTCCACGGAAAACACTTTTTAGTTCATTTTCCACAATATTTTTGAGATAATTGAGATTCTCGTGATTCCACCAAATACCTTTTATGGTGGGAATAGCAGGGATAGATCTAGGCACCGGTTTGAGGGTTTTTTTCATTCTCTTGACAAATTGACTTATGGCGTTTATGGTGAGATTCTTGAAGCCATATTTCAGGAAATATGTGTGTAGATACTGATCATCGTTCATCTCTCGCCTCTCCTTCCCTTCGAGCCAAGTGGCATAGACGTATTTGGCATTATCTTCTGGAATCATATTCAAAGCATATCCCCCTGGAGGTTCTGTTCGAGCAATCTTTCTCTGACTATTCGCAGATGCCTTTAGGTAATTTTTTATATCCTCATCACTTAAACTTCGATACTTTAATTCAAGAGTTTTCTTCGTGTAATTTGGAAAATAATCCAACCAAATCCTACTGTAGCTACGTCGGGCCTGATCTTTGGAATCTCGTTCTTTACACAAGATCATCCATTGTTCTGGGGTAAATATCGTCCTTTCGGCGATTTTCTTCCATCTAGCCTTCACTTCATCATGAATAACTAATGGACTATAACTTCTTGAGAGTTCGTATTTCCCTTTCGCGTATACTTTCTGGAGTGTCTCCCAATCTGCATGGGGGCAATCATTCACCAAACGTTTGATGGTATCTGTGTCGCGATCCGACCATTCTCGCCCTGTGGATTTTTTCTTTCTAGAAGCAGATTGTCCTTGATCTTGAGACATTGTGTAATAACTTTGAGGTGTTTTAGTGAAACAGATTGTTTACTCTGAGACAAAAATTAGGCTCGTTGTCGCTCTCTCCAGTTTAATCCGATAGTATCTTTGTGATTTCTAATGGTTCTCAGATGTAATGGTTGTTGTGAGATTCGCCAATTAGTTGGAAGCGATTTACTACTTATACACGAAATAATCTCGAGACCAGGTGAGCCGACCTGTTGCATCCACTACTAGACGCCCAGATTGATGATCAACACGAAGTTATAATCATGTAAAATTCTCATTGAAAACTGCTTGGCTTGGACCAATAGTCACAAGATTTGTATTGATACAGGTATAGAAGTCCAATTGCAATCAAATCTAACCATGTTTCCAAAGTTGGAGGATTCGAATCGTCAATTCGTTACGAAGTCTGATTTTGATTCTACAAAAACTTATCATTGAGCGATTCGACGACAGGCTCAAGCATTACCGCACTTGTACTGCTAAAAGAAGTACTCGCTTTGACTTATGTGCAATTTTTAAATCATTCAAAGGCCTCTACAAGACAGAAAGAACTCATTGTCTAAAGCAAGAAATCTGCTTTGAAAAACGCCAAATACCCAAATCAATTCCACGTCGAAAATCAATCCGCCTCAACATGAAGCTGAGCGTCCATAAACCGAAGTATGCATCATAAATGCAAAAGTGTAATTTGTCAGAGAAGCATCAGATGATGTCCAACAATGTATCAGAACAATCGATCATCCTGAAAATCTCAATGATGCCACAAAAAGTCCAACAACATGTCTCTTATCACACGACAAAAAGACAACCACATGTAAATCAACATGTATATCAACAGTTGCACGAGGTCCAGAGCAGGCTATGAATGCGGAGCCGCGACCTCGCGACCTAATCTAAACGTTACTTCACAAGCAGTATCCGCACTACCGATATATATTTTCAAAAATAATAGACGACGGTATTCAATGATGTAAGTATAATTACAGAAAAATTAAATCTATGAAAAACATCCCAGTCAAGAAATGACCTCGGCTCAGCACCCGAGAGAAGGTGTGTAGCAAAGTTCAATTACTACTTCTCATCAAGTCTCGTGTTGATATGTTGTTTTGCAATTCCATATAATGGCTACCCTTCATTCCGAGTTCATGGACGTCACTTCCAATCGCTGTTTTGGTTCGGTTTGCTGTTGTATCATTCATCTTACGGCTGTGGTCATCTGGGAAAGATCGAGAGTCTGTGGAATGTAACTGGTCCCGGAGCGACTGAGAAAGTGAGGATATTCTGCTTCTGGCGTGCACAAAAAAGGTGGGAAAACAGGAAACACAGGCAACAATAATTCCGATGTTCATTTCGAAGATTCTGTAAAGGATCAGTATCATTATTGAAGAACAAATAGCGTGTATTTGTGGAGGTATAGCTTACGTGACTTCGGCATTGATTGCTTGATTCCATAGTTATCCGGATTATTGTATTGAAGAGAATATTCGATTACACGTGCTAAGCTTGCCACGCAAGCCCGCTCTGATATTCGGTTAGATTGAGCACTAGCGTAATTAGACGATGTAAAAGAGGCACTCATGCGATGCCACCTGCAAAGACGGCAGCCAAACCAATGTTTAAAGCGCAACTGGAGTTTTAAAATGAGAGGGAATGGCAGCACAAGAACATAAATGTCTGTGATAGGGTGACCGAGTTGAAACAGAATCTAAATCTGCTCGCATTAAGTCCATTGCGCTTGACGAGGGATTCGATAGTAACACCGATCATTGTCGCATAGAACAGGGCTTTGAAGCAAGTTCCGGCGTAAGCGATAATTTTAAAAGCATGGTTGACGTTGAATACACGCAAATATAGCAGCAAGATTGACAGTTTGGCAAAGACTAGCGTGAATGGATAAGCGATACCATTTGTAGAGAACATCTACACTCTTGATCAGTACATTCAGTTATAAGTTATAGGAACTAGAAACAATCTTGTGTATTGCGAGTCTTGAGTATCCACGATGCAGGAACGTCCCAAATATGTCGACCGAAGTGTGTATGGCATACACCAACCAGGAATATAGAGATCCTTGGAATTCAATTATTACACTAATCAAGATATACGTGCCGTATTCCTCTTTCTCGAGAATATTTTGTTCCATGGAAGTCATGTATTGGTATAAGTCCCTATTGAATGGCAAATATTCTTCACGTCGTTTCATCTTCCCATCAGGTCCACCTAATCCTTGTTTCGAGTAGCATGTGCAAGAACAGCAATAACGAATAATGATTCACCAAGAAGACAAATATCGTATGTTCGTATGCCGATCAATATCGTTGGTACCACGCAACCCCGCCGCAGCAGAGCGGCATGCCACGCTGCGCTGATATGGCGGGCTCTTCGGGTCAAAAAAGAACATGCCCGTCTGTGGCACAGGCCACCATTACCAAAACCTGCAATTTGTTACCGACGGAGGTATTAGAGTGCTGTTCCTCCATTGGTTGGTGTGAAGCAGGGATTCAAAACTTGTGCCTCCACACCAAACACTCTCCAACACCACACCAACCTCCTTCCAATACATAAATAGGTTAAAATCTTAACAGATGCCAACAAGCATAGATTCGACTTCCTGCTGTTCCCATCCATTTATACCTACATCAAGGTTGAAAACTTTAATGTACGATGACAACCACCAGCACTCCTTCTTTGAGCCCTGTGCTAATCACAGGCGGATGTGGGTTTATCGGCTTTCACCTCATTAATCATATTCTTGAATCCGAACCGACTTGCGAGATCCATGTTTTGGACATCAATACCACCAGAAATCGAGTCCCCAATGTGACCTATCATACCTGTGATATCACTAGTCTTCCTGGTGTTGAGTCGGTGATGCTTCAGGCACAGCCGCGTACTATCTTTCATGTTGCATGTCCAGACTCCATGGTGCTTCAGCCTTCGGTATTCCAAGAAGTCAATGTCAACGGCGCCCAAAACTTGATCTCCGCAGCTTTCAAAGTAGGAACGGTTCAGGCATTCGTTAATACCTCTACATCATCGGTCATTCACGACAATATCAGCGATCTGATTGATGCTGACGAGGATCTTCCTGTTCTCAAATATCCAGCACAAAAGCGTGTTTACACTCTTACTAAAGCGGTCGCTGAAGCCGAGATTCTTGCAGCCAACCGAAAATATGGCGACTCCTCAATGCTGACTGTATCTTTACGTCCTGCCACCGCTTTCGGTGAGCGAGATACGATATGTATGGGCAAGATCGTCGATGTCTGCCGACAAGGAAAAGGAAAATTTCAGATCGGTGCCGGCAAAAATGAATACGACTTCATCTATGTTGGAAACCTAGCTGAAGCACATATTCTAGCAGCTCAAGCTCTTTTGAGCGCCTATGGAAAGCCGGTACCACCGCTCGAAACTCGTGTTGATGGTCAAACATTCAACATTACCAACAATGAGCGAATCTTGTTCTGGGAGTTCCAGAGACGTATCTCTGCGGCGATTGGATTTCCTATCAAGGACGAAGATATTAAGATCATTCCTAAATGGCTTGCACTGCTCATGGCGGTTATTGGGGAGTATATTACTTGGATACGAAGTTTCGGCAACCGGCAGCCGAGAGTTACTAGGGAATCGGTCCGTCTGACAACAATCATTCGCACCCTAAACGGCGATAAAGCAAAGAGAGTTCTTGGTTATACTCCAAAGGTGAGTATTCTTGAGGGTATAGAGAGAGGTGGGAAGTGGTTTGTGGAGCAGGCAGAAGATGGGAAAAAGGTCAACTGAGGGCTTGCTTGCAAGGAAAGGGACACGAAGTCAGTTGAGGGGAACTTTTGTAATACATCTCATTGAAATAATCCTCCAGGTTTCTTTTTTGCATGCTCTCTGTCTGTTACGTCTAGATTATCAGCCCCGTGCACCCGAGGCTTAGAAATTCATGGCTACCATAGCTATCTAGCTGGGTTCATATATCATTCTCCTTTTTTGGCTAATCTCTACATGATTGCAATTCCTCGGCCATTCTAAGGATCTTCATAATCATTGGTTAGAATCAAAGTAAAAGACCAGTAACTGACTTCACACGAGAAGGTGCCATTTATTTAGAAATATCCCTGTAGCCGTCATCCCGTGGAAAGCCTTGTATCTGGGGGCAAAGGGCGGAAGCACCTCCCACGGGTAATGGAGGTTACAGAAAGGGGTACTTCGATCACATCTCCCAAAACTACACTTCCCACTGCAGCGAATCATCTCTAATACATTCGATAACGAGCTTTCCGCTGGAAAAATGTGTGCAAACATCTGGACACAACTCCGCAGCTTCACAGTGGCAAAAAAAGTTACAGTTGCGGCTAATAGCTTGATCTTTTTCGGAGAAGAGTTATCAAATAATTCTGAATTCTTGAGTGCTGTGCTGGATTATCCCGAAGATCTGATGATTACTGCAGAGGTCCTTCGCTTTATGCCAGACTCTTTGGCTCCGCTGGTAGCTCCAGTCCTGATGAGGAATCACAAGGCATCAAAAACTTTGGTAGATCATTTAATGCTCGTGGTGGAAGACCGTCTGTGACAAGCTCGAAGCAATGAGAAAAACTTAGGGCCCAAGCCAGTCGACTGCATCGAATTTTTCATCGATGCAAATTCACTCAAGAACGAGTGGTCGGCACAAAAGATAGTCCAAGTAATTATGGGAATTTGGTTCGCGGTCGTTCACCAGCCAGCCCTCAGTATAGTATATGCGTTGGAAGATCTTTGTGAACATCCAGAATATGTGGGACTGCTCAGAGTCGAGCTAGCGGAGATGCTTTCGGCCAATGAAGAAAATCTTGATTCGTTACCTCTACTCGACAGTTTTTTGAAAGAATCCTCGCGCCTCCACCCATCAGACTCTATTTCAGTCCGAAGGAAAGTTCTTCAGCCTTTCACTTTCTCGGACGGAACTTGTCTGCTTCCGGGAGACGTGGCTTGTATACCATTACAAGCCATCATGCGTGATTCCACTTACTACTCGGATAGCTTAACATTCAACGCGTTCCGCTTCATTGACGAGAATAGAACCAAGAATCTATCGAAATTCATAGATACAAGCTCGACGTACCCTCTCTGGGGCTTGGGAAAACATGCCTGGTAAGCAATCCTATATTTGTATCAACATGGGGAAAAACCAGTGACACCTAGCTAACCGTCTCACCAGCCCGGGTAGATACTATGCTGCCCATATCCTGAAGCTGTTGCTAAAACACGTTCTTCTCAACTTCGATACCAAAATACCCGTGCAGCCTAAGAATACTACGCGTAGTTTTTATTTTCGATCGTCTGTCATTCCTAGGGCAGGATCAAGCCTGTGTTTTCGGAAACAGGAAGAAAGATGATTCAGTATTTCTGTGACAGTTGAAGATTCCAAACTTCATTGCACTCTGCACGTGAGTGTCTCACATTACTGGAATATTACCATAGTCCTATTTCTCGGTAACTTCTTTCTTCGAAAATTGTTGTGTGAGTAGTAGTAGTAGTACGTTTTGAGTAATCTGTCGATAACTTTGTTCCAATTTTTGTCATAAACTTTGATATTCTAAACAATTACGCATTTGCCTTATTTAGGAGCTTCCTGCGACGTGGTACGTATTGGTCAGCCATTCCTTCCTACTCCCGACCTAGATTTTACTTTTGTGAGCCTCCCTACTCCTCTCCATCGAGCCTTCCTATCCTAATATCTAGGATAGGATAAGTTTGAATTTGTGGATACTGACTGGCTACTTAGTATCACTCTTCTTCTACAAAATTTCAGGATACCATTGCTGCCCTAAAGACACGCTGATTAGCACCAAACTCAAAGTTAACATAAATCTGAGTAGGAACTCACCTCCCGGATTTTCCTCCATCGCAATCCGCATATTCTGATTCAGCGCCCCAGCATCACCCAAGAACCATATCCACCGCCGCTTTACGATTCAAAACAAAAAGTGGCTCAAAATTCTTGGGTGAAATCCCCTGCGTCGACCGTTGACCTAATTGTTCAGCAATTTTTCTGATCAATGATGAAGATTCCCAAGAGTGGGTAGAATACGCTTATTTTACTACCCACTACACCACGAAGTAATTTTACAATCCCGAAAATTCGGTCCTCGCCTCGCCAACTTTACTCTGACCGCCACCACACCAAACCAAATCAGCATCCAACTTCCTTTCCAAAAAAATCTCCGAACAATAATACCATCATACATTTTATTCTTCACCATACCGCGTGACCATCATACTAACTCCTCGGTACCACCTACGCCCCCCAATCCAAACCCCAAGCATCCTCACCTCCGCGCCTGCATCGGAGACCCCCCTCGCTTCCCCGGAAATACATCCCCACTAATTTCATCCCATCTCCTAATTGGTCCGCTTCATCCCAAATGAGGGGTGCAGAATCCACGCAGATTAAACGCAGATTAAATATACCCCACCTCGCGACTGACAGAAAAAACCGAACACCAAAAATCTTCACCTCAATCAAAATTTGATATATAAACAACAACTCAATATAATCTTTTCAAATCTTTAGTAATACTTATTTATTAACTTATAATCTCTATCAATTAATTCAAAAAGATTTAAAATATTAAATTAAATTAATACTAAATTTTGAAAAAGAATCATTTTCAAATTTTCATTTATTTTGCAAGATTGGTGTTCGGTTTTTTCTGTCAGTCGCGAGCCCACACCCGCATCTAGATTTCGGAGAACGTGGAGAATGGGATAAATGAGCACATCGTATTTTTTCTCTCAGCATCCCTCTGTATGGTGGAAAATCAAATCCGTTCCCCGAGATTTCGGATCGTGGAGAACAGGGGTAAGGGTTCTGGTAGCGTGTCGGCCCCATGCCGTGTTTGTGGGGTTGCCATACATGGTTTGCACATGTTGTGTGCGTTGGGGAGATGGGTTTAGCCCGGATGGAGATTGGGGTTTTGGTATAAATTGAGTTGGGAGTGTCGATTTTTTTTTTTCTTTTTTTGAGAAGTATCTTGTTTTTTCATCGTGTGGAATACAATACGTTTAAGAGAAATCATGAAATTCTGGAGTCTTTTAATCACAGTCTTGCCCATCGCATTGGCAAGACCAGAGAATCATTCAAGGTAAGAATATCAATTTTTATTCCTCCCTCACTAAATACTCACAAACCCTCTAGAGATTCCTCATATTTCTTCAAGGGACATGATTTATCCTCTCTCCTCATGCTGGAACAAGGCGGTTCCATTTTCAAAGATACTCTTAAACACAATGCCACCCGTCCCGCCGAAGCCATCCTCGGCGACGGCGGTATGAACAGCGTGCGACTTCGTCAATGGGTTGACCCCGTCGATGGCACCTACGGTCTAGCATACAATCTCAATCTAGCCAAACGCATGCAAAAGCAAGGATACAAGATCTATCTCGATTTCCACTTTTCCGATTCCTGGGCCGATCCAAATAAACAACCTCCTCCTGCCGCATGGCCCACAGAGCTAAAACCTCTCTCAAAAGCCCTCAGAAAATACGTAAAAGATACATTAATATCTTTCCAAAACGCCGGCATCAAACTCGACATCGTCGCCCTAGGAAACGAAATCCGTCACGGCATGCTCTGGCCCACCGGCTACGTAGATGTAGATATCCAACCCACCAGCGCGCTCCACCAAAACTTCACTTCCTTCGCCACGCTCTGGAAATCCGCACGCGCAGGCGTCGACGATGCCCTCGCAGCCGGCGTGCCCAAACCCCAAATCATGATCCACATCGACGATGGCTGGAACGTGACGCTCCAACAACGCTGGTTTGATGCCTTGACCGCGAATGGCGTGGCGCTCTCCGCGTGGGACGTATTTGGATTCTCCTTCTATCCTTTCTACGGAACTGCGGCCACGTTGGCAAATCTGCGCACGACGTTGCATTGGGTGGCGGAAACCTATCGCAAGCCGGTTCACGTGGCCGAGACGGATTATCCGGCGATTTGCGATGGGCAATATAATCCGATTCCGGAGAGTAGCGAGCCTGCGATTCCGTATACGGTGGCGGGTCAGCTGGAGTGGACGGAGGATGTTATTAGTGTGGTGAGGAATGTCCCGCATGGACTGGGGAGAGGTGTGCATTATTGGGAACCGGCGTGGTTGAATAATACGAGTTTGGGAAGTGATTGTAATGATGCGATTTTGTTCGCGCCGGATTATAGCGCGTGGCCTACCACCGTGGGGTATAGTAGAAAGTCGGTGGCATTGTTTAAGTAATAGGGGTATGACTGTTGGTGATGGTTGGTGAGGTTTATTTGGTGGCTTCATTTGGGTAACAATAGAATTTAAGAAACCACAACTTAGAAGTATTCACGATTTCGATGATTCATAAATTTAATCATGACTCTGACATAAATGAAAGAAACCCCGTGATTATTTTAGACTGGAAGGATTGGAAGATAACAAATTCACAAAATAAAATATTCGTTTCCCTGGCTTGCCACATCAAAACACTATATCTCATTCCCTCATGAAAGTCCCATCAACCAAAGATAGGTATTGCCCATCGCCGAATTCCAAGCCTAAATCCATCCCTTGACCCATTTTTCCATCCACGCCCCCTCAATCCCCTTCAACCCCTTCAAATGCACACTAGCTCCCATCGCCATCTCCACATCCTTATCCGACCATTTCGTCTGCGGCAACGTCTCAAAAAACTCCCGCAATTTAATCGCTGGGTATTTTTCCAACATCGCTTCCAACTCCGCTGTACTAGATGCATTTTCTCTCGTCGTGTCTTTCAATTTCTTCAGCCACACTGTGTAGAGAATTGTTGTAATCGCGACCTTGGGGTTCAAAGAATTCAACGTATCCAAGATGATAGGGAGTAGAGTATTCCATGTCGTAGGAGTCTGATTCAAAGGATGGAATACTTTAGCGCCGTTTTCAGAGGCGTTAGGATCTTTGTAGAATGAGAGATCAACTAGTGAAGATGAGAGGATATCGATTGGTACCCAATCTAATTTCATCTCATCGCTACCAAGATTTTCTGGTAGAAATCCCATATGGAAAGAAGTGACGACCAGACTTGGCATCCACTCAGATTTATTCCATACACCAGATGTGTAAGCAGGACCTGCAATCTGGCCCACACGAGCGACTTTTATATCGACGGTCAGGAGCTTTGTCTTGGAAGCATAATCAAGAATACGCTCAGAGATGAATTTGCTCTCTGCATATCCCATTAGAAGAGGTGCCGATACATCATCAATGATTGTCTCAGGTACGGGTGTTGATTCGAGACCTAGAATTGAACTGATGGATGATATGAATAGAAGAGAGACATGATGTGGGATTGCAGAGACGAAAGACAAAAGATGAATTATCCCATCGAGTTGTGGCTTAAATGTTTCGAGCGAGAGGTTGAAGTTTACTGGCCATGCACTGTGAATGATATCTGTTGCAGAACTTTGAATTCGTTTGTATATTTCGTCATCGAGATCCAAGTTGGGTTTAGAGAGATCTGTCTTGAGAAATGTGACTTTAGAGGCTGGGAAATCTGTGGATTCGTTGTTCTTTTTATTCTTTTCCAGATGACGGGAATGAGCAGAGGATGTTCGATCGAAACAGTAAATATGCGATACGGATTTATCTTGCATCAATGTCCTTAAGATATATGATCCAAGGGAACCAGTTGAACCCGTCAAGACAACTACGTGTTCATTGACTGGTGATAACTTTTCTCCAAACTCATGCTTACTAGAGATTCTGTCAACGAATTGAACGTATTGTTTGAGAGTTTCCTCAATCTTATGACGACGATTCGATGCATTTACTGTATTTGTGTTCGACTCATCCTTAGACATAGCGATAATCGATTGGAGTAATTGGGCAATGGAAGGATTGGTGTATAAGATAGAGATGGCGAGATCGGGCTTATTCAGAGCTCTTCTCAAATTTCGAATGAGTTGCAACGCTTGTAGAGAATCCATTCCTTGAACGAACAAATTATCTTCGTCCTGTACTTTGGCCTCATCCCATTTAGTGACCTTAAGAACAGCTTGACGTAAGAGCTTATGCACTGCCTCATCATTGCAAATATTGACAAGCTCCTCATTTTCATCATTCTCACCTGCACTATATGCAGACATCTTATCAGCATCCACATACAACTTCTCTATCTCAGAAGCATATTCTCGTAATGTGGGACTTCGCTGTATAGTTCCTTTTGCTGAGATTAGAATTGGACGCCCTGGCTCCGTGAAATGAATATGAGATTTTGCAATTCTGGCGTGTGCCGGACATGTCAAATTAGCATCTTCTATAGCAGGCCAAATACGTTCAATTGCCTCTGCTCTTTCTGTCGCAGACATCGTCTTTTGGTCGACAAGTTCAATCAAGAGAGCGGCCTGGAATCTCAAAGTACCAATGACCATTGCTTGACGGATCTCTGGGTGCTGATTGAGGCGATGCTCCATAGAAATAGGGTTTGTTTTCTCTCCGGTGAGGAATACTATGATGTCATCTCCTCGACCACGGTACAGCCAGAGATCAGGTTCCGTAGGATGTGGCGAGTAAAGGTCCTTTGATCTCCATTGCTGAAGCTTTGGAAATGTTTTGAAGATAGGTTGTAATTTTTCCGGATCAAGGTTTCTATTCCAAACAGCTTCGTAAAGGTCATCAGCCTGATGCTCAAAGGATATATTTGCGGAGGGATCAAATTGATGGTGACCCCAAAAGTTTGATCGTGCGTTGATTGGCTTCAAGGAAGGATAAAATCCTGTCTCCGTGGCTCCCACGTGTCCGATGAGTTCAATCTTGGAAGAGATAATATCTCCAGCGGCCGGTGGAATAGCACCTCCAAGATAAAAGATACGTTTTAGATTTGTGGCCACGAAATCTAGACTCTCCGTATTTTGGGCAAGATCAACAACGTAGGGTGGGACGAGAACCGCAATATCAGCATTATTACGTTTGAGACCGTCAATAAAAAGACTCGCTGAAGGAAAACCAGCTATTGGATATATTGAAATACTCCGTTGTGATATTCCGTTGATCAAACCGAAGAAGACACCGGCTGCCTGTTCGGATTAGAGTCAATCTATTGCCACTGAATTTGGAATAACTTACATGGAAACTTGGAAATGTGTTAAAGATACGGACTCTTCACCAAAGTTAGCTGGAAAACATAGAATTCAATAATCAACGCTTTCTTACCCAGCATACAAGTCCATTTGGTTAACATAGCCGGTAGGAGCTTCATTCCGCTGTGTGGCCGTAGCAATGTAATCATGAGTCCACACGATAGGTTTCGGTAGTTCTGTAGTTCCAGAGGTGTGTAGAACCACGAAAGGCTCATCTTTAGCAGCTTCAAAGGTTTTCTTGAATGGGAACTTTTCCTGGGGTTTTTCGATTAGGTCCAGAATGTTGGGTAATTCGAGTACTTGAATACCCTTCGAAGACAGGGCAGCTATCATGGGTTGCAGCTGAGCTGATTGGGGACTTGTTGTGACCAGAGTTTTGCATTTGGTAAAAGTAAGTAGATTTTCTTGCGCGCGAATACTATTTCTTGGTGATATAAGAAGGGCCTAGATAGGTGGCAGATATTAATTGCTTGTTCAAACATGGCCTTGGAGTAATCAGATTACACACCTTGTACCCAGTCTTGACAGCTCCTAATAAGAAAGCATTGACGACAATATCATTGGGACCAATGTAAGCCAAGGTAGGAAAGTCTTCTCCAGGTCCAAGTTTTTCTTGAAGCCACCATGCTATACCATTAGCAGCATTTGCTAAAGATCCATATGAAAACTTTTGATAGCCAGATTCATAACTGACGGGATTAACAGGATATTCTGCAAATATAGCTTCAGGTTCCCTTGCAGCAATTGCATCGACAAGATTCGGCAAAAGTTCTTTCGTACTGAAGGTAGCAGGTTCTACTCCTTCGAAAGATTTTGCCATGATGGTTGGTTCAAATGAATATTTCAATATGAACAGGGTTGAAAAATGAAGAATGAGATACAATAGATAGTTGCGTGTAAACGAACAACAGTCTACTTATGGATTTGGGGACAAATTAAATAAGAAGTAGAAGATAAGACGAAGAAATAAGGAATCTCAACAGAAGAATCTCACTAATTCCGGTGCGGGGAAAACTGCTCACATTTTACTCAGCCTCGGACGTGCGTTTCCAATATATGTAAGGACACCACCAACACTTGTTGGGAGTCTCTAACATTTTTGAATATTACTGGAGACATTCACTTGTTCAAGTGGCTCATGGGATTAATGAGGCAATTCTATTATTCATGCTGACGACCCGTGGACATATCAACCAACGAAATTCGGTCCCGACCACTGAAATCGGTTCGAATAAATCAGTTTGAGAGCCCGGTATATCTGTAGATGACTATCATTTGTGGATGCACATCAAATCGAGCTAGATTAACAGGTAAGTATCTTGTCAGAACCAACATGTGGAGTTGTGGGTTTTATGTAAGCTTTCCATACCTAACGACCATTATCCTCAAGAGTGGGCGCACTCTTCCATAAGCATCGACTTGTATCGGGCCATTCTGTTGACCAGCAATAAGCAGTTTGTCAAAACTAATTGCCGGTGGAAGATTGATGAAGATGGGATGAAGATGGGATGAAGTGTCGTCCGTACCTTGGTATCGATAGTTATCAATTCTAACATTCTTGGAAAGATATCAATCAGCATAAGGTCTGTGCGCAACCGCTCGTATTTCACATCAACATGTTAAAATCAATATAAAGTAAAAACTAATATCCCTAACATACATATTTTAAAACACAGTTCATAACTGGAAGCTGATTGGTCTAGAAAGTACATAAGGTCTGTGCGGGAATATTATAATATAATATTGGATTGATATTTAATAAAAGGGAATAAATGAATTTATAAAATGAAATCAAGAGGAATTTTAGGATTCTATAAATTGAAAGTTTTTTAATAATATAATTTTTATATTGATAAGTTATAATTAATAAAAGAAATAATTGATTAGAGAGTAGATTGAAAAGATTGAAGATTTGAAGAATTGAATAAATGTTTTTAGTTGGTTCAAATATTAGAACTTGTGATAAGAGAGATAAGGAATTAGAAAGGGAATGGGATTAGAAAGGGGAGGGGAATTAGAAAGAGGAGGGGGATTAGAAAGGGGAGGGGGAGGGGGATTAGAAAGAGGAGGGGATTAGAAAGAGAAGGGGATTAGAAAGAGGAGGGGGAGGAGGAGGGGAATTAGAAAGAGGAGGGGGAGGGGGAGGGGAATTAGAAAGAGGAGGGGATTCGAAAGAGGAGGGGATTAGAAAGAGGAGGGGCTTCGAAAGAGAAGGGGATTCGAAAGGGGAGGGGATTCGATTTAGTAGATTT